AAACGTGCACGTGGTGCACAGAAACATGCAGGCAAAACACCTATTCTCCTAAATAAATCATTAATAATATTTTTTGGTTTTTTGAGGCAGGGTTTCTCTGTAGCTTTTGAACCTATCCTGGAACTAGCTCTTGTAGACCAGGCTGGCCTCAAACTCACAGAGATTCACCTGCCTCTGCCTCCCAAGTGCTGGGATTAAAGACGTGAGCCACTACCGCCCAGCATAATAATAATTTTTTAAAGCTAGGCATAGTGACACGCTCCTCTAATCTCAGCACTTGGAAAACAGAGGCAAGATGAGTGCGACCACCCTGAACTAAGAACTGAATCCTGGGCCAGTCTGAAAAGTATGTCACTTTGCAAGGAAATGAATAGAACCGGAAATCATCGTATTACTCCAATAGTCCGATAAATATCATACGTTCTCTCTTATGCAGAATCTAGATGTATGTGTACACACAACATAAAGCAGGAAGGGTACTATTTGGGAAAAGGAAAAGGAATAGCAGGATAAGGGAAGAGGGGAAAGAGAGGATAGTGGAGTTCGAATAGGGAAAGCACAGTGGTACATATGTATGGAAATGCCATAATGAGCCCTATTATTTTGAAAATTTATTAGATAAAAAGGAACATATATGTTATATTCCATATTTATATACATATATATATATCATAGAGAGGAAGAGATCGGCATACACATTATCTGAAGTCGACAAGTGTGCCTGCATGCCCGTATGTGCACCACACACACAGTGCCCAAGGAAGACAGAAGAGGGCATCAGCTCCTCTGGAACTAGAGTTCCAGGTGGCTGTGAGCTGCCCCACACCAGTTAGGAACTGAACGTTGGTCCTCTGCAGTAAGAGCAAGTAGGAACCCACTGAGCCATCTCTCCAGAACCGGTCTTGTTCTCTGTGTAAAAAAGTGTATCCATTATTGCTCTTATTGCTTCTGGATTTTGAGTCATAGGAAACTAGACTTGTTTCCAATGTGAGTCACTGTGTGAGCAAACATCTGAGGAGTTGCCTGCTTGCGAGTGTTAGTTAATGATATGCACGTTCGAATAAGACTTTGTCTGGATAGCTGCATAGCCCGGCTCAGTGTGCCCAAAAATTTACTCACTTGTGGTTGTTTAATTTTCAACGGACACAGTCTAGAGCCAACAGGGAAGGAAGTTTCAGTGAGGGGTTGCGTAGGTCAGGTTGGTCTCTGCGTATGTCTGTGGAGGTTGTCTTTAGTCGAAACAACAGGAAGCCCAGGCTGAGAGTGGACAGCACCATTCCCTTGGTTTGGGTCCTGGGCTGTCTCAGTGCAGAACGCTAGCTGAGCACTAAGCATGTGTGTGTTCGTTTTTCTGTGCTCTGCGTTAGGGATGTGATAAACCAGCTGCTTCAAGCTCCTGCCCCTGTGCTTTCCCTGCAGCGGTAGCTGCACTCTGGAGCTGTGAGCTGAAAGATCCCTTTTCTCCTCTAACCTTCTTTTCTTTGGTGGAGGTGGGGTGGGGGTGGAGAGGTGGGTCGGTCTATTCTGTTGTAGCAGCAAAAAGGAACCTAGGGCACTTGTTTTCTGTTTTCACTGTTTGCTGCCTCAAAAACTGAGGCCATTCTTACTCCTAAACTACCACTAGCGAGATAGATTCTCTTTATATGTATATCTAGAAATATATATTTATATACACAATCATATATGTGTGTAACAACAATAAATCCAAAAAGAGGCCATGAATTTGAATGAGAGCAATGAGGGGTAATGGGAGGACTTGGAGGGAGGAAAGGGAAGGGGGAAGTGGTCTAATTATATTATAATCTCAAACAATAAAAACAAAAACTTATTAAGTTTTTATATATTTTCCCTTATTGAGTATTAAATTATTTTGTCACTGTGGCACAAAGCAGATTGAGACAGAATTCAAAAACAAAACCCTCCCAGTACCAAGTGTGGTGGTACATGCCTGTATTCTCAGCTCCCAGGAGGCTGGGACAGGAGCTGAACCACTTGGGGAATGTAGGAAGATAACCACTTGGGATGGGTGGGGAATAACCACTTGAGGTAGGGGTAGGGCTTCCTTTCCTGTCTGTAAAGCAGGAGTAGACCAGAGAAGGGGGGAACTATTCCCCCATCCTGCCCTGTTTCAGAATATTTGTTTACACTATAAAGATGTGTCTCTGACAAGGCACCTTCTGATTAACTTAATAACCTGCAGACGCAGAGCAAGTCAGATGTGTCATACTAAGATTTAAAAAAATTACGGGTTATTAAGTTATAAGAACTAGTTGGAGAAAAGCCTAAGCTAAGGCCAAGCTTTCGTAACAAAAAGTCTCTGGGTCATTATTTGTGGACTGGCAGTCCAAAAATACTTTGTCAAGAAAACTTGCTACGGTCAGGGAACCAAAAAAAAAAGAAAGAAAGAAAGAAAGAAAGAAAAGAAAACTTGCTACATTTGGTACCCAAGGAAGCATATAAATTCACATAGGGCCTGAGAAAGCTGGGGGGATAAAAAAGGTCAAGTAGGCTTGGTGTTTGTGGCAGAGAGGCATGGGTCTTTTAAGAGGCCCTGCTACCCAGCACTTAAATGGGGTTTATAAACAGTGGTGGTGAGCTGCTTGGTTGTGAGAGACTGGGTAGAAGTGCTTACAGGAGCTGGGGCAGAAAGACTAGTTCCAGCCCAAGGGTCTCCACTCTCACCAACCTGAAGAGGGCAGAGCCAGCCACCAGGCTGTGCTAAGCTGATCCACCCAGCAGAGGGCCTGCCTAGCCTCTGCTTAGCAGTTTAAGGTTTGGCTGGTCAGAGAAGGCTGCAGACACACAAAAAGTCAGGTCCAAAATGAGAAAACCTCTAAACAGATACGGCATGTTTAAAAATGTGCTTAGGTGCTCAAGAAAAGAAAATTTGGTATAGACAGTCATAGAAAAATAATAGTTTAACAATGTAATGTAAATTTCTAGTCCTTGAGGATGCCTGAACTCATGTAACATACACATACAGACACATGTATACATACACATAAATAAAAATAAACATATTTTTAAAGCCAGCCAGCCATGCTAAAACTGGTATAGAGTGCAGAGCCTATGCAAAGAGTAAGTTTGGAGTCTTTCAGAACAGACAAAAAGGGGGGAGCTAGAGAGAGGTCTCATCAGTTAAAAATGTTTTGTGCTCTTCCAGAGGACCTAGGTTCTGTTCCAAGATCCAACACCAGGAACTCCAACACCCTTTGGACTCTGAGGGCACTGCACACATGTGGTACACATAAACTCATGCGCACACACACACAGCTACACATAAATAAAAATAAACTGTCTGCTGTGGCGACGCACAACCTTAATCCCAGGACTAGGATGCAAAGGCAGGAGAATCTCTGTGAGTTCAAGGTCAGCCTGGTCTACATAGCAAGCTCTAGGACAACCACAGCTACAAAGGGAGACCATGTCTCAAATAAATAAATAATGTTTCTAAAGAACATAAAGAGATCATAAAGAATATAAATGAAGGGTTCACAAATCCACATAGTGTATAATGATATGAAAAGGCATCAGAAATACTGATGGAGGACAGGTCTCATAGAGTCACATGATGGCAAGATGTGTAAAAAATGGATATGGATGGATTGGAGGATAGTTAAGGATAAATAGGTGGGAGAACGGGAGGATGAATGCATGGATGGATAAATATGTAGATAGATACTGTTGAATCTTGGATGGTTAGAAACCCAAATCCATGTTAGAACACAGCTGGAAGCCAAATATTTTCTATTTGTTACAGGGATGTTCTTTGTTTTTTCTATTATGGTTTTTTGGGGGGAGGGGTTGGGGTTCTCTTTAGAGGGGTTGGTTTTGGTTTTTCGAGACAGGCTTTCTCTGTGTAACAGTAGTCCTGGCTGTCTCGGAACTTGCTTTGTAAACCAGGCTGGCTTCAAACTCTTTAGATCCACCTGCCTCTGCCTCCCAAGAGCTGGGATTAAAGATGAACACCACCACTGCCCGGTTTCTATTATGTTTTTATTTCTGTGTATGTGTGTATGTGTAGGTACATGTGCCCTCAGGGACCAGAAGAGAGGATCAGTTCCCCTGGAGTTACAGGCAGTGGTGAGCAGTCAGACACGGGTGATGGGAAACAAACTCGGGTCCTCCGGTTGAACAGAGAGCTCTGTTAACCACAGAGCCATCTCTTCAGCTCCCAGGTGCCTTTTTCTAGTGGTATAAATTTTAAAACATTCTCCTGTGCAATAAAAGTACTTCTGGAGGCATCACAATCCTTGACTACAGAGCTACAGTACTGAAAACAGCCTGGTATTGGCATAAGAACAGACAGGAGGACCAATGGAACAGAATAGAAGACCCAGATATCAATCCACACATCTCCGAACACCAGATCTTTGATAAAGAAGCAAAAAATATCAAATGGAAAAAAAACTATATTTAACAAGTGGTGCTGGCATCAACATTTAGAAGAATGAAAATAGACCCATATCTATCACCATGCACAAAACTCAAGTCCAAATGGATCAAAGACTTCAACATAAAGCCAGCCACACTGAACCTTATAGAAGAGAAAGTGGGGAGTACACTTGAACGCATTGGCACAGGGAACCACTTCCTAAATATAACCCCAGCAGCACAGACCCTGAGAGAAACAATTAATAAACGAGACCTCCTGAAACTGAAAAGCTTCTGTAAAGCAAAGGACACAGTCAACAAGACAAAACGACAGCCTACAGAATGAGAAAAATCTTCACCAACCCGACATCACACAGAGAGGGCTGATCTCCAAAATATACAAAGAACTCAATAAATTGGACACAAAAAGAACACATAATCCAGTTTAAAAAATGGAGTACAGACCTAAACAGAGAACTCTCAACAGAGGAATCTAAAATGGCTGAAAGACACTTAAGGAAATGTTCAACATCCTTAGTCATCAGAGAAATGCAAATCAAAACAACTCTGAGATTCCATCTTTTTTTTTTTTTCAGCGAGACAGGGTAACATTTAATGGGCACCAGGCAGGGGGACACAGCAGAGTGAGGGACATCTGATCACCAACTGGGAGGTCTAGGGGATGCTTGCAGGTCCTTCTGCAACTGACAGAAACTGGGAACACAGGCCCCAAGGAGGTTCAGTCCTTCCAGTCCTGGCAGACGTGGAGGCACCACTCCCAGGATAGGTGGTCAAGCCTGTCATCATCAGTGAAGAGGGACCTGACCACGTAGAGGCCACGTGCCAATGCACCCCTTGGTGCTTCCTCCACTGTCGTCACAAATTCATACTCCTGGGCCCGGGGGCCATAGCTGCCCACCATGAAGATGGCCTTGTCCACACGTAGTCCCCGACGGTAGGTGTGATGCAGACATTTGAGGCCACTGACAATCTCCTTGTTGACCTTGAAGGTGACCTTCACCTTGTATTCAATGCCCTCCTTCAGGACAAACACCTGGTTTTTCAGGGCAGCCAGGTCTCCTGTAAGGTCCATGACGAGAGGCCCTGGAGCCTGATCAGACAGCAGCGTCAGCCTGGTCACCTGCACGTTGGGCAGGCTGGGGTCCACAACGGGTGGCAGGGGCCCCAGCAGCGCCTGCTTGTACTTGACCAGGCTCACGTCCTCAGGGTCCAGCTGCCAGATTGCCAGCATGCTCTTCTTCCCAGGGGCCTGGTACTCTGGTACAGTTTCGTCCAGCACCTCATCTGTTGGGACTGGCTCCCCTTCCTTGTCAGCCAAGAGGACTGGGAGTAGGGGAAGGGATTTAAGCACCTGCCACCTGCTGACTGGGACCCACACTCTCACCAGGTGTGCCTCCCACTGCCCAGTGGAGCTAAAGAAGCCAGAGGAGCTGTCACCATCACCGACACACGGTGGCCCCTGAGTCCCTAGAAGTCTCTAGGCTTGGTCTCCTCAGGAGGGGCTCTGGTGACTGGAAGAGATTCCTAACAGACCCTGGAGAGACCAGTTTGTTTCTGATTAGCCTTAAAGAGAGTGGCCCTGGGGAACTCTAGGGGCTCCCCAGTTCTGAGCTCTTCTCATAATGTCCTAGGCCCCTGCGGTGGTGCCCCAAACTAGGGGTCTCCATATCCGCTTTAGGTGTCTTGGGCAGGAGTCTCACTGAGATGCTGCCTACTGCCCTCCAACCTTAGGATTGCCTCTGAGATTCCATCTTACACCTAGAAGAATGGCCAAGATCAAAAACACTGATGACTGGAGAGGTTGTGGGGAAACGGGAACTCTTCTGCATTGCTGGTGGGAATGCAAGCTGGTACAACCCCTTTGGATGTCAGTGTGGCGATTTCTCAGAAAATTAGGAAATAACCTTCTTCAAGACCCAGTAATACCACTTTTGGGTATATATCCAAAGGATGCTCAGTCATGCCACAAGGACATGTGTTCAACTATGTTCATAGCAGTCTTGTTTGTCATAGCCAGAACCTAACCTAAGTGCCCCTCGACTGAAGAATGGATAAGAAAATGTGGTACATTTACACAATGGAGAAAAAAAAATAATGACAGCTTGAATTTTGCAGGAAAATGGATGGAGCTAGAAAACATTATTTTGAGTGAGGTAACCCAGACACAGAAAGACAATTATCACATGTACTCACTCATAGGTGGTTTTTAAACATAAAGCAAAGAAAGTCAGCCTACAAACCACAATCCCAGAGAACTTAGACAACAATGAGGACACTAAGAGAGACTTACATAGATATAATCTACATGGGAAGTAGAAAGTATAAAAAGACAAGATTTCCTGAGTAAATTGGGAGCATGGGGACCTTGGGGGAGGTTTGAAGAGGGAAGGGGAGAGGCAGGGAGGGGAGCAGAGAAAAATGTAGAGCTCAATAAATAGCAATAAAATAAAATAAGCAAAAACAAAAAATGTAAAACATTCATATTCCACTGAGAAATAGACAGGCTTTTGATTCCACAGAGCAGCACAGCCTTTCCTGGCCAGGGTGGCTACAGAAGAAACTGCCGTGCAAAGCTGGTCATGCCTTTGGTCCAGGCATGACCTAGGCAGGTCTGGAGAAGCTAAAACCCTCAACTGCTAACTCTTGAACCAGCAGCTTCCTCCCATTCACAGTGTTGAATATACAACCAAAGTTACCGCACCCTCAATGGGTCACAATGGTGAAAAAAGCAGGAGGTACAGCTTACAAGATGAGACTCTTTTGTCTTAACAAAGGATCCTGAGGTCAGGCTAGGCCCTACTCTTACTCCATGGTGTAAGACAGTGATGTTTTCTTTTTTAAAAATATTTATTTATTACATATACAATATTCTGTCTGTGTGTATGCCTGCAGGCCAGAAGAGGGAACCAGACCCCATTATAGATGATTGTGAACCACCGTGTGGTTGCTGGGAATTGAACTCAGGACCTTTGGAAGAGCAGGCAACGCTCTTAACCACTGAGCCATCTCTCCAGCCCTGAAAACTTCTCTTACAGGTGGGGGATTTTTATCAGCACTGAGGATCAGGGCTGGCAGAGACTTCGAGGTCTGGTTTGGTCAGGCAGAGTTAATGGCTAGAGTGTGCAGGAATTATGTTAGTAATGTTAACCTTAGGAAATTGAAACTTTTTTACAAGCGGGGACTGTTGATCATGCTGAACAGTATGAGAGGGAGACATGAACTGACAGACGGGATGAAATGGAGTTGCCTCTGAGTTCTGCTCTCTCAAGGATGAGTGTAGCCAAAGATGGACCCACAAACCTCACCATCTGCCAGGCACCAACCAGGTAACACAGACTTATTAAATGGCTTATTCTGAGAATAGAACCAAACTAAGTGTTTGTCAGGGGGAATTGAGATGATAGAGGAACATGTATATTTTAAAAGCATATCTGGACCGGGCAGTGGTGGCACACGCCTTTAATCCCAGCACTCAGGAGGCAGAGGCAGGTGGATCTCTGTGAGTTAGAGGCCAGCCTGGTCTACAGAGTGAGTTCTAGGACAGGCTCCAAAGCTACACAGAGAAACCCTTTCTTGGAAAAAAAAATATTCATACCTGGGAAACCAGACCCAAGAACTTGGACCCCATAAATTGGCAGACACCTCACTCTAAGATAGCATGGCTCACCAACCCGGCACCCAGCGTGAGCAGAGGACCAACCATTGGAAAACATTAGTCTGACCCTGGGGCTTCAGGCCAGCTTGATCCCTGCTGCCCACTGAACTGCATGCTGGGCCTGAACACACACACATAATTTCCCGGTCCAACCTGTTTCCACTCCTACCTAGATTCCATCCTGAAGCCTGTCTTTCAGCCAGGACCCTCCCTTGGGCCACAGAGCAGCAGCATCCCAGGGTTGGTGTCTGCTTTCTCGTCTACACAGATTCCATTGACATTTCTCTCCGCCCACCTCTAAAGCCCTTTGCACTCTGCTGTAGCCTCTTTAACTTGCATTCACTCAGAAAAACATGTAATAGGTACCTAAAGACAGCTAAATTCACTGTGTGCAGTGTGCTAGGAGAATTAAGATTGGAATCAAAGAATCTGGGTTAGCCTCAGCCAGATTTCCAACTAGTCAGGATTATCTGAGACACTTCCGCCACAGAAATCACCGAGCCTTGTGAAGATACAGTGGATGAATCACTTTTCAGGTCTTCAGATTCATCTGCATTACGTCTGGGGGAGGTTTCATTCTTTAAGATGTGGGTGGATCTTCCAGTGGTCAGTGAACTTGGGCCTGGCCCTGTGTAGGGCTCAACCACATGCTTCTCATTCTGCTGCTTGCTGGAATGAACATAATGACCTAGACAACGTGAACGTCCCTGGAGTGCACGGACACTAGCTGGAATTCTCTATGTTGTTCCAACTGAAGTATCTGTGCTGCCAAAGGGAGTACAACAGACAGTCTCTCCCGGCAGCCATCTAGCCTCTACCACCAGTGTGTTACCATCAGGAAACATAGTCTAAGTTGTCCAATCTATCGATGATTCGAGAAAAGGCTAGAATCCAGATATTTGGGTGAAATTATTTGATCTCTACCACAACTTTTCATTTTTATTTTACTTTTTGAGACAGGCTGACTGGACCTGTCAGTTCTGACTGGACCAGAACTGGCTATATAAACTAGGCTGGCCTTGAATTCACCAAGTTTCACCTGCCTCTGCTTCCCAAAAACTGGGATTAAAGGTGTGTGCCACCACGCCTGACCTGAAACTTTCCAGCAATTTTAAATACTGGCAGTTCTGGAGTTTAATGTGGTCCACGTCCTTGTTAAATTCTATTGACATTTTCATCTCAATCTGGCTAAATCCCTTCCTTTTCCTGTTAAGAAAACAGGCTGGATAACACATATATGTTTGGTGACTTATCCCGGCCAAAATTGGAAAGCAGAGACAATAATCACAAGGGAGACTGTGTGCTATGTTATTGTGAAATCTTATTTAATAATGAGGTTGGTTCAATCCTATAACAATTAATAGCAAAAACCAGATCTCATTTCCAATCTACCACTGTGGATCTCGCCTCACCTGCCCTAGTTTCTTCAGCAGCCCTTTTCGGGCCTGTTCTGAAGAATGCTGCAGAAAAATAATAAAGTCAGAAATATTGGACATCAGTTGACAAAGTGAGGCACACGCGTATTCCTAGTACTCAGGAGGCAGAAGCGGGAGGATCACTGTAAACTCAAGGCCAGCTAGTGCTACAGTACTGAGTTCTAGGCCCTGAATACTGGGATTAAAGTACTGGGATTAAAATTTGAGATTCTGACTGGGAATGTAACTCAGTTGGAAGAGTAAATGTCTAGCAGCGTGTTGAGTGCTGTCAAGATGGACTTGAGAGATGGAAGCAGGAAGATCACAAATTCAATGTCCCTGTTGGTTGTGTGTTCTGGGGGTAGAATGCAGCTCAGTGGTAGAGATCTTGATTAGCATGTGTGAGTCTAAGGTTCAATTACCAGAACTGCCCCGACTCCCCAGCCCCCCCAAAAAAACAACCCATAGTCAAGCACACGTTGCTTGACAGGGTTTCTCTTTGTAGCCCTGGCTATCCTGAAACTTGCTCTGTAGACCAGGCTAACCTCAAACTCAGAGATCTGCCTGCCTCTGCTTCCCAAGTGCTGGAATTAAAGGCAGGCACCACCATTGCCCAGCTCCATGGCCTATTTTGAGGCCAGCCTGGGCAAAAAGAGGGCTTGTCTGGGAAACAAGAGCAACAACAAATAAAACTCCAACAGTGACATTGTGTCTCTCAAATGGAAAAAAAGTTGTCATGAAATGAAAGTTCAGAAGAGGAAGTGGTGTCACAAGGACCAAGGGGGTTGCCAGACCGCTAAACTAAGACCAATTCCAAGTTCTAGGAAGCAGAAAGTTCAAAAGGAACTTTCAGGTACTCCCGGCTGGGGATCACCGGCGTTTCTGAGGAGTCGTACTTTCCCCTAGCGATATTCCAGGAGAGCAAGCCCAGGCGAGCAGGAACAGAGAGGGAGGGAAGCAGCCGCGGGGAGCAGCGCGAGGCCGCCAGCTAGGCCAGCGGCGGGTCACGTGACCGGCCAACATGGCCGCCCGCGGAGAGTGCCGCCGGGCGGGGCACGAGTCGGAGCCGGAGCAGGAGCCGGGGCCGCAGCCGGGGCCCGAGGCAGACCGAGAGTCGGGGGAAGAGTTCGAGATCGTGGACAGGAGCCAGCTGCCGAGCCACGGCGAGCTGCGGAGCGCGGCGCGGCCCCGAGCGGCTGACGGCTGGTCGGCGCCCATCCTGACGCTAGCGCGCAGAGCCACCGGGAACCTGTCGGCCAGTTGCGGGAGCGCGCTGCGCGCGGCCGCGGGGCTCGGAGACGGCGCTGGCGGCGGCGGCGGTGGGGAGCGCGCAGGTAGGCCGGGGTCCCGCGGGCTGGGGCAGATACAGGGCTAGGGGAGCCCGAGAGTTGGACGAGCTGCCCTGCCGACCTGTTCCGCGGGGGGCGGGGTTCTGTCTATGGTCCGACCCAGCAGAAGAAGCGCGAGACAGGGTGGCTGCTGACAGGGACTGCCCTCCCACCTTGTGTTTGTCTTGGTGAACCCCAGAGCAGCGGCATCGTGACCACGAATTGACTTAAAATAAGAGGATTCAATGAGAGAGAGACTCGGGCGGAAAGTCACCTGTGTTTATGTTTTGCATACTTGAGAAACGAAGTCTGTTGTTGGTCCCCTGTTAACAGACCGGCCGCTAGCCGGTTGTGCACCTGCGACTGAGGTTGACACCGTATTCCAAAGTTAGTGAGAGCGGCGAGTCAGAGTCAGGAGGTTTTGGTTCCCTTTATACACCGCCACTCACCGCCCTGTGGGACGTGAACAAGCCATCACCCCTCCTACTCGCATTTCTCAACCTATGAAATGAGGATTTTTTTTTCTTTTTAATCAACTACCTTGTAAAGCCCAGTTCAGCTCTTAGATTCAGAGCTAGATTAGAATTTCAGCATACCAGTAAAGACAGATGATTATTTTATTTTTGATTTCTGGGCATGGCGATGCAGGTGCATACTGCCCGCACAGTGTGTTACTGTACTCGGTACTGTGCTAATTTTAATGCAGTGGTGTGTGTGTGTGTTTCTAGACCTACCTAAAAATACAGTATAAAAGATAGCCATGGTTTCAGGCGTTGTGTTGCTCTACTTTTATCCTGCCACTGGGGAGGCAAAGGCAGGTGGATCTCTGTGAGTTAGAGACCCGCCCTGCTCTACATAGTGAGCCCCTATATCAAAATAAATAATAAATAATGATGCTTCACCATGCAGTCTTCAAGTTGCTGTGATAGAATGAGTGTTAACTTTAAATGCCTGAGTCTCCATGTGTACAGTAGACTTTGTTACCTGGAGTTTATTTTAAAACAAACAAACAAAAAAAAACCACACTTCGTTCCTCGGTAATATATTAACCTTGATTTACTACTGTAACTTTTCTGCTTTATAACCTTCACTTTTTTTGTGTGAATATGGGTTCAGATGTGTTCGTACTGTTTGTGCACTTGAAGACCAGAGGTCCATGATGGGTATCTTCCTCAACTATTTAATCCACCTTATTTCTGAGACAAGGTCTCTCACTAAACCTGGAGCTCACCAATTGGCCACACTGTCCCTCGAGACCCTCCAGGCTCTGCCAGCACTGGGAATGCTAGCAGATGCCACTGTGCCCGTTGTTGAAGGCTGGGCCTCTGAAGTCAGGGAATGCTGGCAGATGCCACTGTGCCCGTTGTTGAAGGCTGGGCCTCTGAAGTCAGGGAATGCTGGCTGATGTGCCATGCCCAGTGTTGAACGCTCAGACTCCGAAGTCAGGTCTTCGTGTTTGCAAGGCAACCCCTTCTTCACCTATCGAACCCTATTTTTTACTTTTTATTACCATACGCTCCCCGGCTTACCTGTGAAGGTCAGAGGATGCCTTTCGGGAGTCAGTTCTCTCCTACTGTGTGGGTAGACCTCAGATCACCAGCCTTGACAACAAGAGCCTTTCCCCTCTGAGCCACCTCACCAGCCCTGGTTTTTTGTTTTGTTGTTGTTGTTGTTGTTGTTGTTTGATTCTTATAACAACAGCTTAGAACACACATTATATACCTAATCAAAAATATTTTATTTCTTTATATCAATACCTTATCATTTGTCTATTTAAAGTTGTTTGGTTTTGGTTTTTACTTAAGCCTTTGGCTAAGAGCAAAGATAAATAGAGAACAGACCACAGTCCCCAAAGTCTCAGGAAGCTTGGTGAGGATAGATAGGGGCTGGTTAATGAATTCAGAGTAGACCTGGGTAGGAGGAAGGGTTTCTGGAGTTTTGCAGCATAGTTGGAATAGCTAATGTTTGCAACAACTGTTAAATATTTTCTAACAGCTAATGGAGAGGTTTTTTAAATGTTCCCCACACAGACAAAGGGAAGCTGAGGTGATAGCTATGCCAGTCTCCCTGATGATCATTACAAACACACATAAACTAAAATGTCAGTGTACCCCTTAAATGTGCACAATCGCTGCTGCAATTTAAAATATAAACATAGGTTGGCAGGATGGCTCAGTAGGTCAAAGTGCTTACCTCCAAGTTCAGTGGCCTGAGTTGAATCCCCAGGATCCACATGGTAGAAGGAGAGAGGGGACTCTTACAAGTTGATCTCCGCCTACTGTGTATGTGCCGTGGCATACACACAAACCCCCTCAATGTATATATGGGCGTGTGTGTGTGTGTATTTTAACTAAGGTACATTAGCTTAGGCCTCAAAGGTCAGGATCATGACTATCACTCTTCTACCTCCTTGTCTTGTCCCACTGGAAAATCTTCAGGAAACAGTGCACAAGGAGCTATCACTTGTGTTCACAATGCCTTCTTCTAGAATATGCCCCCCCACCCTATGGGTAACATTTGTTAATCCCACTGAACAAGAGTAAAGACTATTACCCAAATTCGTTATTCAAATTATGCAAGCTTTATTTTCTGTCAAACAGGGCTATTTCCCTAAAGTGGGGTTTAAGAAAATAGCATCAAACAGGAGAGGGTGGGGTTTATATTAGCCCCAAAATTGCAAGGCTAGAGGTTTTCCAAAGGTTTTTGGTTATATAGGAACTTGGCAGAAGACCTCAAGATTATTTTGCAGAATATCCTATCTTATCAGAGTGGAGGTCAGGGTGTAGGGTGTGGAATGTGTCAAATTCCAGAAAATGGCTCAAGACGTGGCATTTTCACAGAAAACAAGAATGAACTTATTTTGACCTTGTAACAAGATGGTTTTTAATCTCAAAATGGAATCAGGCCGCTCCATCACATGTCACAGTTAATTGTAGTTAAATGTGGAAGGCGTACATACTACAATAAAGATGCAAGGCCAGCCAGTAACCACGACTTCTCTGTACCAGATTTCTGTAAGGGTTCTTGAATGTGTGGGCTGTACTCTGTACCTCTGGCAGTACAGCAGGTTTGTTTACAGGGCTGTCCCATAGTGCATGAGGAATGCAGTTTTACAAGTGTTGTTTTTTTATTTCCGCTGCACAGCAGCCTCACCGGATCCTGGTGACTGTCTCCAGAGCTGCCTCAGCCACCTCGCTGCTGAGGCCGCAGGCCGGGGGACTCTTCTCTTCCCGCCGCTTCTTCAGTCATGTCCCTGGAGGGAGACAAACGTTTTGTCTATCCTTTTCTTTTACAAAAAAAATTCAGGAGCCAGATGCTGGGGTAAAAGCCTGTTAACTCAGAGAGGCAGAGAAAACAGCTGGGTGGTCTTTCTCCTCTGCAGTCGTCCCAAAAAGAGACCCTCGCAGCCAGGCGGTGGTGGCGCACGCCTTTAATCCCAGCACTTGGGAGGCAGAAGCAGGCGGATCTCTGTGAGTTCGAGACCAGCCTGGTCAGAAACCTTGTCTCGAAAAAAACCAAAAGAGAGAGAGAGAGACCCTCTCCTACTCTGCCTAAAAACAAAAACAAACCTCCTCCAACCAGATGTCCCTCCCTTCTTCTTTTGTGCTCTCTTTCTCCAACTTCCCAACTTTCTCTCACATTCTATGGTTACTTCCAATCAACTGGTTGCTTGCTCCTGCTCTCAACCTATTGCTGATTTTATTTAATACAATCTCAGGGTCCACAGTGTGATCAAATATCCTGCAACACAACTGCAGGGTCACAGGCTCTGGGAATTCTTCTGTTCCCCTTGTAACCTTGTCCTTGATCAGTCATTGACTGAAGCCTTGTTATACAGGTCACACTGCTCATTGACAGATAAAGCATGCCTGGGCCCCAGACTCGTAACAAGTGCGTACCTGGAAAGGCCCTGTTTTCCTTTACTGCAATGACGTAAAGCATAGACAACACTGTGCTCACTGAATGCCACACTAGTGTTAGAGCTGTATTCGTACCATCACCCCCTTAACTCCAGCTCCACAGTAGCCGTGACAGTGATAGGGCTGGCTTCATGGGTGTGGATTCAATGCAGCCACTGGGACCAAAGGGCAAAGTTTACAGAACCTGCTTGGAATTGATGATAATTCTTTTCAGTGAGCTGTCATGTCTCACTCCTGTAATCCTAGCACTAGCGAGATTGATGCAGGAGAATTACCATAAGTTTGAGGATAGCTTGTCCTGCATAGTGAGACTCCTGTCATTCCCATCCCCCCAAAAATAAATTATACAGTAATACTTTTCGTTGAATTTGTGTGGGAGGAGTTACTTTGTGTGTGTATGTGTGTGTGTGCGTTCACACCATCAGTGTAGGTACTTGTAGAGGCCAGAAGAGGGCACAAGATCCCCTAGAGCTGGAGTCAGGCTCCTTATGCTGGGATCATCTTAGTTTTTTTTTTTTTAAGATTATTTATTTATTTATTTATTTAGTATCCTGCCTATAGACCAGAAGAGGTCACCAGATCCCATATGGTTGCTGGGAATTGAACTCAGGACCTCTAAAAGAACAGTCAGTGCTCTTAACCACTGAGGCATCTCTCCAGCCCCTGGGATCATCTTTAAGACCAGCACACACTCTTAATGAACTGGGCCAGCTCTACAGCTCTGAATGAAGTGTGTTTTATGATGCATTGGCTGGGGTGAAAGGATAAAAAGGAAAGGTGAAGTGGGCACCTTTGGTGGCTCCTGCCAAGGTATTGCCACTAAGTAAAACTCCAGGTGCAGCAGAGTTAGCGCAAGAGGTTTATTGGGGGAAGAAGAGAGTGAACGAGCAAGAGAGCGAAAGGCTGTCTCAGAGTGTGGATGAGAGAGGCAGACAAACAACATGGAAGAGGAGAGGCAAGAGACAAGAGAAGCAAGAGAGGTGTAAGAGACAGAAGTGTGCCTGACGGATGCTTTTAAGGGGTGCGCTTGTCACTTAGCCGATGGTGGAAGACACCTAGTGACAGATGATGCCGTAATTACCTCAGCGGCTGAGGCAGGCTGCAGCCGCCGTGGGAACTAACAATGGGGCCGGGGAGCATGGCGGGGGCACTTGGAGCCTCATGTGGAATCCCTGTCTGTCTGCCTTCTCAAAAACTTTGAAACTTCTCCCTCACACTCCTCAACTTCACGTAACCATGAGTGGCCAGGAAGAGCAGGGACAAAGCCCCTCTGAGCCCTCTGCATTTCAGGGCAGGGTGGACTCACAGCACACTAGTCAAGCCGCAGAGGAGGAGACTGTCACCCACCAGTGAAGCTTCTCTATAGGAAGGGAAGATTGACACTGGCGCTTTGGTCCTGGCCCAGATTTGTGTGGGCTTTATGAATTGTATGGGGGAGCCAGGTGATAGTTACCCATCCATTTTATTACATTTTATTTATTTATTTAGTGTGTGTGTGTGTGTGTGTGTGTGAGAGAGAGAGAGAGAGAAAGAGAGAGAGAGAGAGAGAGAGAGAGAGAAAGGAGAGAGAGAGACAGAGAGACAGAGAGAGAGAGAGCGCTGCATGTGGAAGTCAGAGGACGGCTTTCGGGATTGTTTGCTCCTTCCATCTTGTGGGTTGGTTACTGAGCTCAGGCCTGGCAGCTCACACCTTTACCCACAAAGCATCCTGCTGGTCCTGCTATCCCACCCTTTAAAAGGGAAACTTGAACACAGACAGTATCTCTCTCAAGCCTATGCTCCGCTTCCAGTCACAGCACAAGGCTACCTCTCTCTTTAGGTGACGTCTTCTGTAAAGTGGCATAATGTCGGGTTTTGAAATTAGCCATTTCAATGAAAGTATTAAGTAATAACAGTCACAGAATGTGGCAAAATATGAGCATGGCTTCTTAAGGGTCACAGTTGAAGGAACTGCTGGTTTGGGTGTATGTATCTCCACAGGTCAGCCATGTTTAAACCATCAGCTCATAAGCCACACACTCTACCAAAGGCGAGGAGAAACAGGGACAAGACAGTGGCCAGCACTTCAGGCCAGGCTCCCTGATACCCTCTCTGTCACTATTGCCACGGGTGCTCGGTGATAGAAGTTGAATGGTAGCCGAACTTTTTTTTTTAAGATTTATTTTATTTATTATGTATACAGTGTTCTGTCTGCACACCAGGAGAGGGCACCAGATTTCATTACAGATGGTTGTGAGCCACCATGTGGTTGCTGGAATTTGAACTCGACCTCTGGAAGAGCAACCAGTGCTCTCAACCTCTGAGCCATCTCTCCAGCCTGGTAGCAGAACAACATTAAAGAGAGGAAGGAGTTGGGTGGTGGTGGCACACGCCTTTAATCCCAGCACTCAGGAGGCAGAGGTGGGCTGATCTCTGAGTTCGAGGCCAGCCTGGTCTATTACAGCTAGTTCCAGGACAGGCTCCACAGAGAAACCCTGTTTTGAAAAAAAAAAGGAAGGACAAGAAAAAGAAATTACGTGGGATGCTGTGGGTGCTTTGAATATTTGTTTTACAATATCCCACATGGGCTCAAGTGCATAGTTGTCTTGTTTTAGTTGGGAGTTTCCTTACCCATGCTTGTGTGTGTGAGTACACATATGTACTGTTGAATCTTTGCACACAGCTCTCCGTTCCCAACACCCTGTTTTCACACACACTGGATGTACAGAAAGGCACCACTTGCATCTTAGAGCGAGTTGTCTGAAGGAATAACAGCGCCTATAGGGGGTCTTTAATTCACACTTAACTTAGATCGGACTGGGGCTGGGTGGAGTCTTAGCTCTTCATGGGGCCGGGGCAAGAGGCAAGCTGAGCCAAGAGCTGAAAGCTAGACGAGGTAGCATAGTGGCAAACACTCTGGAAGAAATTATCTCATGTGTCTGTCTCCTCAGGTCATGGTGTGAACAACTATGTTTGGTTTTCTTTGCTTTTTGAGACAGAGTCTCATGTAGTCCAATCTGGCCTCAAACTTGCTATGTAGACAAGACTGGTCTGGGGCTCTGATACCCCCCCACTCCACCTCCCACGCACTGGGATTCAGGAACACACTGCTACACCCATCTTCCTGCACCAGTGGACAAGACTGAAGGATGGTGCAGGCCGAAAGGCAGGAACACATCACAGGGAGACCTCTTCACCCTGTAGCTAGTACTCCTGTGGGGGCTTTCAGTTTGGAGTCTACTTGTTTTTTTTTTATGTATATATTTTTTATTGTTTATTTAACTTTATTTTATGTGCATTGGTGTGAAGATGTCAGTTCCCCTGCAACTGGATCTTCAGACAGTTGTGAGCTGCCATGTGGGTGCTGGGAATTGAACCCGGGTCCTCTGGAAGAACAGTCAGTGCTCTTAACCACTGAGCCTTCTCTCCAGCCCCTCTATTTTTTTTTAAGATTTGTTTTTATATTTTTAATTATGTGTGTATGGGGGAAGATGGGTATGAGCAGGTGCCTACAGAGTCCAGGAAACAGCGCAGGATGCCCTGGAGCTGGACTTACAGGCGGTGGTAGGCCTGGGTTCTCTGAAAGAGCAGTACATGTTCATAACCACAGAGCCATCTCTCCAGTCCTGGAGTCTAAACTTTTCAAACTCTAGCATGTCGTTTTCGTGGGCTTAAGCGAACTTGTTTTTTTCTTGGATTTTCGAGACAGGGTTTCTCCATAGTTTTTTGGTTCCTGTCCTGGAACTAGCTCTTGTAGTCCAGGCTCACAGAGATCCACCTGCCTCTGCCTCCCGAGTGCTGGGATTAAAGGCTTGCGCCACTACCGCCCGGCTAAGAGGCTAAGCGAACATTTTTTAAGCACTTGTTCTAGCTGTCCCATACCAACTGTAGACGGACTCTTTTTTTTTTTTTTTTTTTTTTTGGTTTTTCGAGACAGGGTTTCTCTGTGGCTTTGGAGCCTGTCCTGGAACTAGCTCTGTAGACCAGGCTGGTCTCGAACTTGTAGACGGACTCTTAACTCTCCAAACAAAATGACAAGACGAATATAGTAGAAATGAACGTACTTCTAACGAACTTTTTAAAATGGGTGCAAAACATAGACTGGGCACACGTCGTGGACGAAGGCGCAGGGTCTAGAAAGGAAGGGAGGGCGCTTTCCTGAAGGCACGCACAGTAGGATAAAGGACGTCGCGAATCCCGGTGAGGCAAGTGTCTTTCCTACTCGGTCTAAGGTCAGACAGTAAAAAATGGCTGTCCTCCTCTGTGGCTGGCTCTGAGCTGGCTTTGTCCAATAGGAGTGGTCGAAGGCGGGGCGTTTCCTCTGTATGCCTTCTAGCTTGGGGGCAAGGCAGCCTAGACTTTGCGTCCTCTCATTGGTCGGGGAAGAAACCAATCGCGGCGAGCCTTGCTAGAGTCATCGCTCTAGCAACGCGAGGAAGCATCAGTCTCTGATTCCACACAAAGCCCAGGTGGCTTGCTTAGGAGCTGTGGCCAGCAGAGATGGACTGCGATTTGACTACGAGTCCTGGATATCCTCCCGCCAGTGCGTCCTCACCCTGAACAAGCCCCTGGTCCTCTGCCGCGCCACTGACCCCTCTCACCTCCACATCCCTCTCAGCCCACTAACGAATCTGTCCTTGCTTGCGCCCGCAGCTTCCAAGGGCCAGATGATGGAGGAGCGTGCCAACCTGATGCACATGATGAAGCTCAGCATTAAGGTCTTACTCCAGTCTGCCCTTAGCCTGGGACGCAGTCTGGATGCAGACCACGCCCCCCTGCAGCAGTTCTTTGTAGTGATGGAGCATTGCCTCAAACATGGGCTGAAAGGTGAGCCTGGGGGCGTTTAGGAGCATAGAAATTTGGGCTAAGTCTTTGCTCTCGCTAGTGCCAAGCATTGTGGTAGGTGTAGAGAGGAGAGGTGCGCACAAAATAGATTCCCTGTGATCTAGAGCAAATGGCACTGCCAGCCGCAGAAACCGTTCTTAGTTCTCTGGTTGGCACTTTCTAATAGTAAGGCTTAAAATCTGCCGTGTTCTACATTGGCAGCACATGGCATTCCAGTCCCTAGGCTGCACGAGCCACACTGCAGGTGCACCATTAGCAAGACCTGTGGCCGTCGGTGGCGGGGGGAGCATAGTTTCAAAGGCCAAGACTTGACAGAAACACAGAATTACAAAATGCTACCAGTTCAGGGAAACAAAACAAGTAATATGATAGGGAATGAAGTCAGGGTATTTCAGACGCACGAAGGAGAGTTCTTTCTGACTTGTGAGCTGAGACTTAAGGACGAGAGAACCCTGCAGAGATTTGGGTCCACAACATTCCTTGCACAAGAGACAAAATGAAATAGATGCAAAGGTGCAAATGTCCTGAGTGAGACCAACCTTGGCTTGAGGCAGACGCCTGGTAACCAGGAAGTGTGGGATGAAAGAATGGGAGATGAGACCTGGGAAACAGGGAGGGGCTGGATCCTGCAGGCCCTTAAGAGGTCATGACAGGAGCTGTATTTTCTTCTAAGTGAGTTTGGAGGCGTTTGAGGAGGAAATGTGACTTAGTTTGCATCTTAAAAAAAAGAAAAGAAAAAAACTTCACCAAATTGAGAACAAATTGAGGGTAGGGACGTGAAGATACTAGGAGCATCAATGAGGTTATTGTGGCAGTTCGGTAGGGAAGTGGTTGTGACAGCTAGGAGTTGAGCACTAACGCTGCCACCAGGACAGAGGTGGCCGGATTTTGCAGATTTCGGTTCATAAGCAGCAAGTTCTTGAAGAAAGAACACGATGACAGAGGAAGCTCACTGCCAAAGGAAAGCAGAGCTGATTTGTTCTGTGGCCACTGTAAGTCCAAAAGTCTGGCTCACAGAATTGAGTGTGGGGCTGTGACACACTGCCTGGCTTTTGAAAGAGAGACTATGGGCCCCCGGAAGAAACTATGCCCTGTTCTTACGTCTAACCATGTTGTTTTTTTCCTTTTAGTTAAGAAGAGTTTCATTGGCCAAAATAAATCTTTCTTTGGTCCTTTGGAGCTGGTGGAAAAACTTTGCCCCGAAGCATCAGATATAGCTACCAGTGTCAGGAATCTTCCAGAACTAAAGTGAGTAAATAGTAGTGATATCGCCTGAACGCTTGCTCTTTACTCTCTGCTGTTTGCCTCACCTCGATTCTCCTCTGGTTTGGAACACTCTGGCAGGAACTTAGGCTCTAATCTAATCCCACCTGTGCTGCACACTATTCATGTGACCTTAAGACTTGAAACTTCCTGGGCCTCAGACTCCTGCTCATCAGGACGGAGACAGCAGTTGCCTCGTGCCACATGGTTCACGTAGTTTAAATTTGTTGTTGAGGCTGCAGCTATGGCTCAGCAATCAGAGTGCTTCTCGCTCTTGCAGAGGACTGAAGGACCCACGCCAGGTGGAGTGTGGGAATCAGGGAAATTACAGTTGTATCTCCAGCCCATGATGTATATCTCACATCATATTTTAGCACAAACATAAAATTGCATGTATGAGTCCATGCCTCAGAAATTTTATGATACTCGAACACTTGAAATGCCTGTGGTACAAAGTTCAAAAAGTACCTAGCTTGTACATTAAGCATTCTCTCTGCCCACACGGAACCTTTCTAACCCCAAACTACCATGTAACTTCTCTCTCTCTCTCTCTCTCTCTCTCTCTCTCTCTCTCTCTCTCTCTCTCAGTGTGTGTGTGTGTGTGTGTGTGTGTGTGATCACCCAGATAATTTGTTTCCTTCTGTATTTGTTGCTGTTATTATGCCTTACCGGTCTGATTCTCTGATTTCCAGGACAGCCGTGGGAAGAGGCAGAGCTTGGCTTTATCTTGCTCTCATGCAAAAGAAGCTGGCAGATTATCTGAAAGTCCTCATAGACAATAAGCATCTCTTAAGGTACTCCACGTGTGTTTGTCTTTTACTCTGTAGTTGCAGCGTAGCCTGTAGATCATTGTGAAATAAAGAAACTGGAATGTTCAGAGCTAAGACTGAAATCATGACTAGTCTTCAGTGCTCTGAGGCTTGGTTTGAAGTGTTTCTCTGTTGAGCCCTGATATCTCAGAAGCATTACAAATGAGACTCACAGCTTTGAAATTCTGAAGATAATCTCCCAGAATATTAATACTTATAATTTGGTAACTGGCAGCCCATTCAATTAAGTTTCAATAAAATGATACTTACCAAATTAGATGATAACAAGAATAAAATATCTTTTGAACTAGGGACATTTCATATCCAGTTTGTAAAGTGTGTATTTCTTAGTATTAGTAAAAACTTAAGGGCTGGAGAGATGAATTAGCAGTTGAGAACACTGGCTACTCTTCCAGAGGTCCTGAGTTCAGTTCCCAGCAACCACATGATGGCTCAGAACCATCTATAATGGGATCTAATGCCCTCTTCTTGACTGCAGGTATATATGCAGATAGAGCACCATACTTGGAAAATAAATAAATCTTGTTGTTGTTTTGTTTTGTTTTTGTTTTTCAAGACAGGGTTTCTCTGTAGCTTTGAAGGCTGTCCTGGAACTCACTCTGTAGACCAGGCTGGCCTCAAATTCAAAGATCCTCCTGCCTCTGCCTCCCAAGTACTAGGATTAAAGATGTGCACTACAACACACAGCTAAGTTCTCTCCTTCAGCCCAGTGGGCTCCAGAGATCAACTTAGGTTTTCAGGCTGTTGGCAGGTGCCTCTGTCCACTGTCCCTTCCCATGCCAGCCCTGGTGACCAGCGTTCCAGATAGTAAGTTTCATCAGCAGAGAGAAGGCAGTGAAGACACAGGGGCACACAGCAGAATGGCCGGAAGACAGTGGCCAAGAGTAGATGAGAAGGAACCAGATCAAGATCTAAACAGAGGAGCCTGTCAGGCCCCAGTGCAGCTCTCTGTTGCTGCAATAAAACACCGGAAAGAATCTGATCGTAAAGAGAAAGAGCACAGAGGTGGCTCAGTTTATGAATGCTTGTGGTGCAGGCGTGGGGTTCAGGCCCCAGCGCCTACACTGAAAAACTGGACTTGGAAGCTGTTTCATGCAGAGAAAAATACCATACATACACAGAGAAAAAAATTATAAAATAAAGGTAGTCGTCTGAGGACAAGCTTCTGAGGCACCTGAGGTTGACCTCTGTCATGTCTACACATATGCGCATGTGCATCCACATACATGATCCCACACAAACAAGTGTACGTATGTGAAAGGAAAAGAAAAGGTTTGTTTGGCTCACAGTTTAAGTCCATAATTGGTCCTCTTGCTTTATGCCTGTGGCAAGGCAGTAGATTGTGAAGGAGGCATGTGGTAGGTAGAATAAAAACTGCTGATTTCCTGGTCACAAAATGAGAAAGAGAAGGCAAAGGTCACACCCCCTTCAGAGCACACCCACAGCAACCTTGCAACAATTGGCCCCACTTGCATTTTTAACAGCACCAAGCTGGGGAGCAACTTTACCACGTGGGTCTTTGAGAGACACTTAGGATCTGACCATAGCAGAAGAGGAAGCACTTGACATGGTGGGAGGAAGGAAACTCCCTGAGGGTCCCTCGCTCCAGGGTAGAGCAGGAAGCCAGGTGGCAAGGCCGCTGGCCGGGGTGAGGGTGAGTGGGAAAGGGACTCCTGAGCAGCCCCTGACCTGTCCGTCTCTTGCAGTGAGTTCTATGAGCCTGAGGCACTAATGATGGAGGAAGAGGGCATGGTGATTGTCGGCCTGCTGGTGGGACTCAATGTTCTGGATGCCAATCTCTGCTTAAAGGGAGAAGACTTGGATTCTCAGGTAATATGGGATTTAGGCTTTGATGGAATGAATCAGACTAGGAATTTTTGACATGAAATCTGCAGACATGTGCTGAACCTAAGAAAGGAGCAGAAGGCAAGAGGCCTTTGGTAGAGGTTAGGGCAGACTGCGGTGCTGGGGAGGTGGGAAAGCTGCTGGGGATGTCTCAGGAGAGTGAAGTAGTCACATGGGCAGATCCAGGGGTGTGGCTCGGTGGTAGAGTGCATGCGTAACTTGCACAAGTCTTAGGTTCGGTTCCTAACTCCATAAACCAGGCATGGTGGTGCATGCCTGTAATCCTACACTCTGGAAATGGAGCCCAGAGATCACAAGTTGAAGGTCACAAGGTCATTCTCATTACATAGCCAAGTTCAAGGCTAGTCTGGAAAGAAAGAAAGAGATGAAACTGGAGAGATGGCTCACTGGTTAAAAGCACTGGTTATACTTCCAGAGAACCCAGATTTAATTCCCAGCACCCACATGGCAGATAACTGTCTAACTCCGTGCTTCTCTCCCCTCTTTCACGATGATCCCTGTGCCTTGGGGCGGGACTTGTATTGTAGATGTGTCCATTGGGACTGGGCTCCACAACTCTACATTTTGATTGGTTGTGGCTTTCTGTAATTGTCTCCATCTGTTGCAAAGAGAAGTTGTCTTAATGGGGGTGAGGACGGCACTTATCTGTGTGTGTAAGGATAAATATTTAGAATGTAGTTAGGATTTATGCAGGTTTAGTCAAGTGGTGGTTGTAGTTTCCTCTCAAAGATCCATGCCTGCCAGGTGGTGGTGGCGCACGCCTTTAATCCCAGCACTTGGGAGGCAGAGGCAGGCGGATCTCTGTGAGTTCGAGACCAGCCTGGTCTACAAGAGCTAGTTCCAGGACGGGCTCCAAAACCACAGAGAAACCCTGTTTCAAAAAACCAAAAAAAAAAAAAAAATCCATGACTTCACTAGTCCAGAGTAGTTGGCTAGGTTTCCAGTACCAGGCATGGTTTCCTTCTTGTTGAGTGGTTTTCAGCTAGTTCAGTTGGTTACTGCTGAGGTATCTGTGCCACTATTGCATCCTTAGGCTTGTTGTAACATTCTGGTCATTATTGTGGTTCGTATCAGCCTCTCTTATACCATCCAGGACCACATGCCCAGTAGCACCACTTACACTGGGTTGGGACCTCCCACATCAATAATCACTAAAGAAAATTCCACACGCTTGCCCACAGAAGCATTTTCTCAATTGTTCCCTCTTATCAAATAAATCTAGCTTGTGTCAAGTTGACTCCCCCCCCCAAAAAAAATGCCAACCTAGACAGGTGTAGAAAGAAGGACTTAGAAGTGTCAGATAAGGTGCTAGAGAGATGGCTTGGCGATTAAGAGCACTGACTGTTCTTCCAAAGGTCCTGAGTTCAGTTCCCAGCAACCACATGGTGGCTCACAACCACCTGTAATAAGATCTGATGCCCTCTTCTGGCCTGCAAGGATACATGTACTGTACACATAATAAGTAAATAAATCTTTAAGAAAAAAGAAGTGTCAGATAAACAAGAGTCTCACTTTAGCCTAGAAATCTAGCATATGCTCTCTCTCTCCTCACCCATTTTCTTTCAAATTACTTTGTTCATAAGTGCAGGCAAAACACCAATGCACATAAATTAAAAAATAAATAAAATTAAGTTACTTTGGACCACCGAGTCTTTGCTGCTTTGGATGCATGCACAGTAGCAAAGTGAACTTGCGAGTTCAGACTCACAGGTTTGCAGGAATGAAAACTGCCGTGTGTCTGAGCCTGGGACCTTGGTTTCTGTAGGTTGGAGTGATCGACTTTTCCCTCTACCTGAAGGACGTGCAGGATCTGGACAGCGGCAGAGAGTGAGTATTGTGTTTCTGGTAGCTCTTCACCAGCTGGCAAGATGTGGGCTTCGTTTTGCTTTGCAGTTTAGCTTTGTTGAGTTAGTTTAACTATAGAGGTGAAGCTGGTGGCGTGCGTCCTCGCTGTCTCAGGAGTTGAGCTCAGAATAGAGCGTGCATGCGAGAGATCCCTTCTCATGCCACCTCCTCTGCCCATTCCAGCCTAGCCCCACCCCTCACCATAGGAGGCTGCTGTGGTCACTTCCTGTGTGTGTGTGTCAGAGTTGTGAAGCTGGTACTCTGCACCCACCTTTAGATCCTCAGGCTTGCGCAGCAAGTCTTTACCCGCTGAACCATTTCATCAGTCCTTCAGTTTTGTTTATTTTGCTGAATATCCAGAACACCTTGAGATTCCCTGTTAGTAAAGAATTACAGGAATTATGGGATATCTGTAGTGAATCACACCATTATGTGTTATGTAGACATAAAGAGTAAATTTGAGCTTCTTGTAGACTTTGAGAAATTTGCCTGGAGAATGATGGAATGAGAAAAGTATCATGCCAAGAAATATATGTATTGCTTTTCTTTCTTTTTCTTTTTTTTTTGTGGGGGGGGGATTTTCGAGACAGGGTTTCTCCATAGCTTTTGGTTCCTGTCCTGGAACTAGCTCTTGTAGACCAGGCTGGCCTCGAACTCACAGACATCCGCCTGCCTCTGCCTCCCGAGTGCTGGAATTAAAGGCATGCGCCACCACCGCCCGGCACGTATTGCTTTTCTATAAGCCAAAAATGTTCAATATATAGTACATGAATATATGTACTACATTATGTTAGCTAGATATGATGGCTATATACCCAAAAAAGGACACTCAACAAGCCATTACTATGGGTTACCTGGGAGAGGTATGTAAAATGAAGACTAGGGAAAAGAAGATAAAACAATCGCAACTGAGAAACAGACCCAGTAATGTTTGAATGGCATGAAATGGTAACTACATATGTCAGTGTATGTTTAAAGAGGTCACAGAAGGGCAGTGAGACGGCTCAGTGGGTAAAGGTGCCTGCTGCCATCCCTCACAACCTAGGTCCAATCCCTGGGACCCACATAGTGAGCAAATTGACAAGTTGTCAACTGACCTACACACACACACGTACGCACACACACGAACACACACACATATGTTATGTAAAGAAAGGAAGGGCTGGAGAGACGGCTCAGTGACTAAGAACACTTGTTGCTCTTATAGAGCACCCTCATCAGGTAACTCACAGCTACTTGGAGCTCTAGTCCTAGGAGATCTGACATTCTCTTCTGACGTCCACAGATACTTGTATATGGTGCATACACTGACAAACAGGAAAACACATACTTTTTGCTTTTTTGAGTCAGGGTTTCTTTGTGTAACAGTCCTAACTGTCCTGGAACTCACTCTGTAGACTAGGCTGGCCGTGTACTCACAGAGATCCGTCTGCCTCTGCCTCCCGAGTGCTGGGATTAAAGGCATGCGCCATCACCACCAGAATAACACAAACATTTTTAAATGATTGGAATTTTAAAAAAAGGAATCAGTTAATCAGAGAGAAAGGCTTGACTGTCAGATGGAGACGACTTTTTATTCAAATGTCTCTGGCCTGTAGATTGCTCTACTGTATTCTGAAAAATCTTTGTTTCCTTAAATGTATCCCTTTCTTTCTGTGTAGTAGGGCTGTGTCATCAGCCACTTCCAGAACCATTGCATGCGGCAGGCAGGTGTGTTCACCATGCACAAAGGCCCATGGCTTTCTGTCCTCCCTGCAGCAGCCCAGGCAGTCTGGGGATTGGGGCCGTCTCTGTAGGGCAGCCCGTCCCCAAGCCCTGCTGCTAGCTCAGTCCAGCCCTGTTTTCTGTTTATTCCTTACATAGCTCTGACTGCCTCTTGGTTTCTACAAGAAAGTTGGGGAACCGTTACAAATGGTTTGACATGAGTTCAAGAAGTCCTTATTTTTGTGTACTCTTTTTCACAAGGCACGAAAGAATTACCGATGTCCTTGATCAGAAAAATTACGTGGAAGAACTGAATCGGCACTTGAGGTAAGGCCCGCTCCTCCTCAGCTCCAGTTATTGCACTGAGCTCTTCAGGGGATCCACCATTTAACTGTCATAACCGAGTTTTATCCAAGCCGAGAGAAAGCTGTAACCACCCAAGCCACATTCACGTGTCCGACCTGGAAGAGGACGCCTGCCTGACGAACAGCTTTGGGCACCTCCTTGGCCTTGTTTGTACAGCACAGAGAGGCAGATACACAGGACAAGCAGCCTCAGGAAAGGAAACAAACAATAGGAAGGAAGGAAAGAAGGAAGGGACGAGAGATCTCAGAGTTCTGTTCCCAGTACCCACCTCAGGCTGCTCTCAACTGCCAGTTCCAGAGGGAGCTGGCACCTCTGGCCTCCATTAGCACCTGCACACATGTGCACAGATGGTGTGTGTGTGTGTGTGTGTGTGTGTGTGTTAAATAGGGTCTGAATATGTAGTCCTGGTTGGCCTGGAACCCACAGAGATCCGTGTGTGTGTGTGTGTGTGTGTGTGTGTGTGTGTGTGTTAAATAGGGTCTGAATATGTAGTCCTGGTTGGCCTGGAACCCACAGAGATCCACGTGTGTGTGTGTGTGTGTGTGTGTGTGTTAAATAGGGTCTGAATATGTAGTCCTGGTTGGCCTGGAACCCACAGAGATCCACCAGTCTCTGCCTCTCCAGTGCTGGGACTAAAGGCATGTGCCACTATGTCTGGCTTAAAACCTTAAAATTAGAAAGAAAAAAAAGGCAGGGGGAGTCTGGGGTTGTGAGTCAGAGACGACCTATGTTCCATCCCCTCACTCTTCCCCCAAAAAGAAAAGAAAAGAAAAAGTTGGGTAAGAGAGGACATACATACATACATATATACATACATACATACATACATGCATATACTTAAGTTCCTTAAGATAAATGCTTAGGTTTAATCATCTAACAGAATAATTTACCTCTTCCAGTTATGGGGAAAGTTAAGTGAGTTGATGTATTTAAAATGCTTACAACAAAGATGGTTTGGCTAAATTCCTGCTTTTCTCATAGGGTTTGCTGCTATCATCAAACCTATTGTTTGCAGATTCTTTTTTTTTTTTTTAAGATTTATTTATTTATTACATATACAGTGTTCTGCTTGCATGTATACTTGCAGGCCAGAAGAGGGCACCAGATCTCATTACAGATGGTTGTGAGCCACCATGTGGTTGCTGGGAATTGAACTAAGGACCTCTGGAAGAACAGTCAGTGCTCTTAACCTCTGAGCCATCTCTCCAGTCCTGTTTGTAGATCCTTTACATTTATTATAGTATAAAAGTAACTTAAAATATTACTTTTAATATTTTAAGCTGAAGTGGTGGCTAAATGGTTAGGAATACTCGTTGTTCTTGCAGAGCATCCACACAGTAGCCCAGAGCTCCAGGGGATCTAACACACACACACACACACACACACACACACACACACCGGGCTCTTAGGTGCTGCACACATGTGGAGCACATATTTTCATGATGGCACATATATTCAGGGCACTCATACACATAAAAACTGAATCTAAACTGGGCAGTGGTGGCACACACATTTAATCTCAGCACTTGGTAGGCAGAGGTAGGCGGAGCTCTGTGAGTTTGAAGCCAGCCTGGTCTACAGAGCAAATTCCAGGACAGCCAAGGCTGTTATACAGAGAAACCCTGTCTCGAAAAACCAAAATAAATAAATAAATATAGATAGACAGATGGACGGACAGACAGATGGACAGACAGACAGACAGACAGACAGATAGACAGATAGATAGATAGATAGATAGATATAGGTGGGATATGTTGGCAAAAGCCTTTAATTCCAGCACTGAGGAGGCAGTAGCAGGTGTGGATCTCTGTGAGATCGAGGCCAGCCTGGTCTACAGAGAAAGTCCCAAGACAAAGCTACACAGAGAAACCCTGTCTCAAAAAACCTAAATAAATAAATCTTTTAAAAAATTAATAAACTGTTTTTTTAAAAAGAATGTTTCAAAATGTAGAAAAGTATAAGTAAAACTTAAAAATTAGCTTTGCAGGACAAGACAGAAGGCTCAGCAGTTAAGAGCATTGACTGCTCTTCCAGAGCATCTGGGTTCAATTCCCAGCATCTGTGTGCTGGCTCATAATCAGTTCCAGGGGATCAGACATCCTCTTATGACCTCTGCAGGGATCAGGCACACATTTAGTACAGATATGCATGTAGGAATAAATAAAAATCTGTCTTGCAGCTAGGGGGATAGCTCAGTGTATGAGGAGCTTGCTGCACATACACAAGGACCTGAGTTCAGATCTGCAGTGCCCACATAAAACGCTGGGCACTGCCATGTACATGTATAACCTCAGCCTTGGTTACATGGAGACAGGAACATCCTAAGGACTTTTTGGCCAACCATTCTAGCCACTCAGTGAGCTGGGCATTCAGTGAGAGGCCTTGTCTCGGAAGGCTTAGTGGGTGAGACTGGAGAGATGGCTCAGCAGTTACGAACTGCTGCTCTTGCAAAGGCCCTGGGTTCAGTTCTCAGCACCCACATGGGTGGACCACAGCCATCTGTAGCCCTAATACCAGGATCCCTGATACCCTCTACTGACCCCCTTAGCTGCTAGGTACACATACAGGCAAAACACATAAACATAAAAATAAATCTGAGCCGGGTGGTGGTGGTGCCCTCCTTTAATCCCGGCACACGGGAGGCAGAGGCAGGCGGATCTCTGTTTGAGTCCAGCCTGATCTACAAGAGCTAATTCCAGGACAGGCTCCAAAGCTACAGAGAAACCCTCTCTCAAAAAACCAAAATAAAAAATAAAGCTGAAAAAGAAAACAAAACAGGGTTTCTCTGTGTAGCTTTGGCTGGAACTCACTCTGTAGACCAGGATGACCTCAGACTCACAGAGATCCACCCGCCTCTGCCTCCCTGAGTGCTGGGATTAAAGGTGTGCACCACACTGCCTAGCTAAAATAAATCTTTTTAAATAAGTGAAGAACAATTTAGGAAGATACCTAGTGTCAGCTTCTGGCCTACACATGTATGCACACACAAAAGTACACACAAACAAAAAAATATTAAAGGGGATTGGCAAGATAGCTCAGTGAGTGAAGGCTCATAATCACCTGTAGCTCCAGTTCCAGGGGATCAGACACCCTCAAGCCTGATGATCTTGACTGGACATGGCAGTTGCACGCCTTTAAATCCCAGCACTTGGGAGACGGATCTCTGAGTTTGAGGCCAGCCTGGTCTGCAGAGTGAGTTCCAGGACAGCCAGAGATACACAGAGAAATACTGTCTCAAATAGGGAAACAAAACATAAAGGTTTAATATGGCTGCCAATACAGTTTTGATTCTCACCATCTATTATGTCAGAGCTAACCAAGTAATGGGATAGGTAGACTATTTGGAGGGTGAGATTTATTAAGGGTGGGTTTGGGTTTTTTGTTTTGTTTTGTTTTGTGTTTTGTTGACTTTTAAAGACAAGGTCTCTCTGTTGACCTGACTGCCTCAGCACTTTTTCTTTAGACCAAGCTGGCCTCAGACTCACAGAGATCTGCCTTTCTCTGCCTCCCAAGTGCTGGGATTAAAGGTGCGCACCACCACTGCCCAGATGCCAGTGGTTTTTGATTGTTGTTATTTCAGTATCAACACAAACTGAGTTTCTACCTCAGAATTCTGAGCAGTCCTGCGCCTCCCTTTCATGGAGGAAGTCAGGATTCCTCCTTCTCATTCACCAGTTGGGAACAGTCCACTGCTTTAAGTTTAGACTTATTGTGTGTTTATTCTCTCCAGCTGCACGGTTGGGGATCTTCAGACCAAGATAGATGGCTTGGAAAAGACGAACTCAAAGCTTCAAGAAGAGGTTTGTAACCTTTACTTAAACGAAATAGTGACCCAAGGTTAAGAGAAGTGGTTTAAGTCAGCCTGGTGGCAGCTGGCCTGTCATTCCAGCTACTCAGGAGGTTGAACCAGGAAGATTACAAGTTCAAAGCCTTCCTAGGCTAGAGAGTGAGTTCAAAACCAGCCTGAACAACTTAACGAGACTCTGTCTCAGAAAAAGTAAAGAGGATGCCATGGTAGAGTGTTGTCTAGTATAGACGAGGCCCTAGGCTCAATACATAGTACAAGAAGAAGAAAGAGAGAGAAAGAGATGGGATGTTGGTACATCTGACCAGAGCGTCTTGTTGGGAGGAACAAGAGCTAGCCTCAGCTGGAACTGCACAGGAGCATTTATGTCCACCTGTAGGGCTCCTAGTGAGACACCGGTCCTGAGGCAGTTCCTGACGGCCTCAGTTTATCACCTCTGGTCAATGCACCATTGGGCAGATGGGAAATGGTAGTGTTCTTCTCTGCCCACCTTTGCTGTAGTGTCATGTGCTTCCCCCTGCCCCGGAGAGCACAGACCTTCCGAGAGGCACCCAGCCCACCCTCCTGTTTTGGCCTCTAGCGAGCACAGATCCAGTCTCCCCACAGCATGGTCTTTCTCTGCTTTCTCACTAGGAAGAGAGAGAATGAAAGGACAGGAAGAAGGAGGGCTGAGGCCGAGGAAGAAGGCTTGCTGCCCGCGGCCCGGCAGTCTCCCTGGTGGACACATCTTGTCTCCTGTTAGCAGCAGGGGGGTTGCTCAGCCTTGAGGCTTTCCACAGGTAGTAGGAAGGAGGAGAGCTTTGAGAATGGGCTTAAAAATGGACACCCCGCAGCACGGAGGCAGGGTGCAGTGGGCTAGGAGGGTCTGTGAGTGAAGGACCTGATGAGGCTCACTGTAGGCTGACTGGCTCCTTAGGGACTTTCAAGGGAGGGCTCAGGATTGTGTGAGTTGAAAGGGTACAAAGACAATATTCTCAGGGGAATGTCACGGTAGGAGCCACTGCCGTTAGCCCCGGGACTCACACGTACCTTGCTTGGGAGGCAGGTCTTGGAGCCCTATAGAGGCGGTATGTCTTTAAGCCTTGTTTTAATGTCTCCAAGTTGGGTGATGCATAGATTTTGTAATTTTGTTGTAGCGACTCAGTCAGTTTACTGTGGTACAAATACCCATGAAGCAGTACTGGGAGGGCTGGAGACTTGGATGACTTCAGAGCAAAGCACTGTTCCCCAGCCAGGTGGGATGCTTCAACTGGAGTCTGAGTGGACACCTGAAACGCACTGGCTGGGGGTTTTCTTCAGCATGTAACTGTAGGGAAAGATGTTCCTTCAGAGCAGGGCATGGTGGCACACACCTTTAATCCCAGCACTCAGTAGGCAGAAGCAGGCAAATCTCTGAGTTCGAGGCCAGCCTGGTCTACAGAACAAGTTCCAGGACAGCAAGCCCTACTCATAGAAACCCTGTCACAAAAAACAAAACACAAACAAAAAAGATGTCCTTTAGAGAATTCGCCCAGGGAGTTGGAAAAGAGCTGAACACCTTCAGGGCCTTCGAGGTCTTTCTTAGGCACAGCTGCTGTTTAGAAAGGTCAGCCTGGGGTCTGAGGAGAACGCTGCAGGGTTTTAGAGGACCGTTCAGTGCCCCAGGATCCCTCCACTGAGGAAAAGTGGATGGATGACTTGCTTCTTGCTCCTCCTCCGGTCTCCTTCCTCCTCTGCAGACTGGAGCCTGGAGCTAGAAGTAGGAGGGGTCTGCCTTCTGCGTTGTTCCGTCCCCTTTGCCTCCCATGATATCTGTTTGCTAGACACATTCATGGACAAATCCAACTTTCCTTCCCTTAAGCCACGAGACATATTTCAGGAGAGGAAGGATTCCTCGGGGGCCTGTTTCTAATGATTTAAGTTTGATTCTTTCCTCCAAAATCTTTAATCTCCCTTGACAATAAAATATATTTCTGCTTATCAAGATACTGAAAATGGGGATCGGGGAGATGGGTCAGTGGTAAAATACTTACTACGCAAGCATGAGGAACTGAGCCAACATCTCCAGCACCTGGGTTAAAGCCAGGCCGGACAGCACGTGTCTAGAACCGCCGTGCTGGGAAGCAGAGACAGACAGATCAGTCTCTTGGCTTGCCAGGTCAGCGAGCCTAGCCAAAGCAGCGCCCTCCAGGTCCAGTGAAAGACCCTGCCTCAAAAAGTAAGGTGGGACAAGGGAGAAGACCCCACTGTCACTTCCAGTATTCACACGTGCATGTACAGGCCAGCGTGAGTGCACAGACACAGGCAACAGCAGCAAACGGGGCTGGGTGTGGCTGCACACAGTATTAACCCAGTACTTGGGAGGCAGAGACAGCATATCTCTGCGAGTTCCAGGACAGCCAGTAGCTACACAGTGAGTCCCTGCCTCAAAAAACAAAAGCACCCCTGGAAAGAACAATGAATTTAAAAAAAAAAATGTTCATCATTCCATTGTATGCCATTAGCATAAATAGTCTTTATTTTACAAATTTTGGGCCTGATTTTTTTTAATTAAAGTGAGAGCATACCATACAAAGTTTCCCTCTACTGGTATAAGTATCTTCTCATTAAAAGCTATTGTAACCGCCAGGCAGTGATGGCACAGGCCTTTAATCGGGAGGCAGAGGCAGGCAGATCTCTGAGTTCCAGGACAGCCAGAGCTACACAGAGAAACCCTGTCTTAGAAAAAAAATAATAATAATAAAATTTTTAAAAAGCCTATTCTAAATATTTGGATAATAACAGATTTCTGCTTGGTGCTCCTGTAGTAGTGACTGTCTGAACTCTAGGGGTTTTTTTTGTGTGTGTGTGTGTATGTGTACATAAATTATCACTCACATGAAACATCAAATAACTGGTTTTGCAGTATGGGGGGGAATGGGGACGTTACAGAAAGCTAGGCGGATGTGGCAGAGGTTTTACTACATAGATGTCTGTGGAAGTTTGCACCATGCATTTCCTATTTAAAGCAAGCAAGTAAAATAGCAAACATTAAGATGCATTGTAAATTGTGTAGAATCTAAGTAAATGTCAGCTCTTCATTTGGACTGCAAGATTAATTCTGATGTTAAAAAAATGTAAGAAATCTTTTTTAATCAGCTTTCAGCGGCAACAGACCGAATTTCATCCCTGCAAGAAGAACAGCAGCAGCTGAGAGAACAGAACGAATTAATTCGCGAAAGAAGCGAAAAGAGTGTGGAGGTGAGAGGGGGACCTGACGGCTGGGCATTGTTCTCGTGCACACCACTCACCGTCGCTCGTCTCCGGCTGTAGCTGCCCCTTGGCATCATGGGGAAAGGCTTAAGTCTCTTGTATAAAATGACACCGCTGTCAGAGATAGCCTACGCATCGCAGGTCCTCTTCAGGATGCTTTAATGTGACTTGTGGAAGGACTGAAGAGATGGCTCAGCCGTTAGGAGCACTGGCCATTCTTCCGGAGGACCCAGGTTCAATTCCTGGCACCCGCATAGCAGCTCACACCTGTCTGTAACTCCAGTTCCCTGGGATCTGACACCTTCACACCAATGCCTATAAAATAAAAGTTAAATACTTATTTTTTAAAAATTGGAAAAAAAATACAGTGAGCTAGGGAAACGGGCCACCCTGGCTTGTCTAGAGAAGAAAGTCTGCGTCTGTTGTGTGCAGAAGATGGTCTTCACTGTCCCCACCCCGTGGTCAGTGAGGGCACTGGTGCAAGGCCGGCTGTGACTTAGCTCTGTCCCAGTCTCCAGAATGTACAAAGGCTGTCCCTACCCACGTCACTCACAGGCCACCTGGATCACTTAAGACTTCTGAAAACCCCAGCCTTTGTACTCCAGAGTTCCGGTTTGGCTCAGTGCTGAGTGGGCTGTCATTTTGTCCCTGGTTCCATGGCTTCTTTCTCCCATACTCCCCTGGCACGTTGTTCCTCCTTTGCAGCAGGTGCACCTGGCTGGTGGCTCAGCCGTAGAGATGAGATCTGAGTCACCACAAGTCCCCAGTGCTAGATAAAGCTGGCAGCAAACACCGTGTGGTAGATGGAGTACGAGCCTTTCCCGCCAGGATTTCTTGTCCTCTTGTAAATAAAATTAACTAAACCATTACCCAGCCTAATTTGTTAGCCACACACCTGTGATCCTAGCATGCAAGAGGCAGAAGCAGGAGGATCACAAGTTCAAGTACATAGAGAGACCCTATTACGTAGCCATACGCAGATCTATTGGCCTGCTGGCATCTCTCATCTTTCAGGTTGTTATATCTTTAAGAGTCATCAGATATATGGCTGGCTCAAGATTCATCATGTTTTAAAGGTAGAAAATTAAGTCAGGGGTGTGGTGCACAGCTTTAATCCCAGTACTTAGGAGGCAGAAGCAGGAGGATCTTGTGAGTTCAAAGCTAACCTATTTTACAGGGCGAGTTCCAGGACAGCCAGGGCAACAGAGAAAAACTGTCTCAGAAAAAAAAAATTTTGTGACATATTTTGAAATGTATTATCGCTAGTTGACTTTCCAAGAGTGAGTCGTTCTTGGTGTTCTCGTGTGATTCAGATAACAAAGCAGGACACCAAGGTTGAGCTGGAGACTTACAAGCAGACTCGGCAGGGCCTGGACGAAATGTACAGCGATGTCTGGAAGCAGCTGAAGGAGGAGAAGAAAGTCCGACTGGTGAGCGGGACCCAGCATCCTTAGCGAGAGTCCGTCAGCTGCCTTCCATACTACATAAACCTGCTTGCACCTGCTGATACTCCTGGAGAGACAGAAACTGGCCTTTTTAGTTCGTGTTTACACTGCAGTTCTGTGTCATTTGTGTTTGTGCCCAATGGATGAGTCTTTTCTAGAGGCTGTTATGAGACCTGTCTGTCCCCTCGGTCATAGGCTCTGGCCACTTCACTCAGCACTGTGGCCGCAGTTCCTTTCCAAACCTAGTTCTCCTGTGTGCTTTGTCTTGGCTTCCTGGGATGTATGTGGGGCACCGTGCTCTGAGGTACCCAGGGCAGAAAGAACCATTTCAGGATGGTGGCGCCTGTGCCGCGGTAAAGTCCAGAGCATTCGGAAGCTGTCCTACCCCGTCAGGTCTCCTGGTGCACAAGTCAAGCATTCCTGCAGGACCCTGGCTTCTGTTTTCCTTTTGGGAACAACCTGGCTTCTAGAACTCTGGCTCATGTTGCCAAGTCAGTGTTCTGTTGACTTGATGCAGAGCTAGTGTCTTGGTACTGTGCTCCCGGCAGCTCAGGACCTGAGGCAGGAAGATTGAGTTAAAGGCCAGCCTAGGTTACACAGTTAAACTCTTTCCAAAACTGAGAAGAGGGAAGAAGAGCAGGAAGAAGGGAAAGGGAAGGTGGGAGGGCCAGAGGAAAGAAGGCAGGCAGGCAGGCAGCGTGGAGGAGAGGATGGGCATAAGGAATCCTGTCGGGCCTTTCTCCGTGTCGCAGGCCTGCCCTGTCCTGCAGGGACTCCCCCTCAGCTAAATATGACGCTGCCTCTTTCTCAGTACGCTCTCCTCGTCCGTGTCTTTGAAGGAACTAGAGAAGGAGCTGGAGCTACAGATTGGAATGAAGACTGAGATGGAAATCGCCATGAAGTTACTGGAGAAGGACACCCATGAGAAGCAGGACACGCTCGTTGCCCTCCGCCAGCAGCTGGAGGAAGTCAAAGCAATTAACTTACAAATGTTCCACAAAGTTCAGGTGAGAACTGGCCTCAGGTCTGGACCGCTGCCCTCAGCTGCCTTTCAGCGCCGTCTTCCTTCCTGCGGAACACGCAGACAAGCCTGGTCCTCAGTCCTCGTGCTATTGCAGTGTTTTGGATGTTTTGCTTGAGACAGGGTCTCAGCAGGTAGCCCTGGCTGACCCAGAACTCACTACATACATAGATCAAGCTATTCTCAGAGTTCTGCCTGTCTCTGCATTCTGAATGCAGGAACAAAAGGTGTGCACTGCCATGCCTACTGCATATGTTCATTTTTAAAGGTTTGTTTTTTATTTACCTGTGTACATTTATGACTTTGTGAGTATATGTGCATGTGCATACAAGTACCTGAGGAGGCCAGACACACCAGATTCCTTAGAGCATTTGTGAACTTCCCAGCATGGGTACCAGGACTTCTTTTTGAACCATATTTTAAGTTTTTACATTTTTTTTCAGGTTTGGCCCATTAGAGACATAGTAGTGTGTGTTAGGGAACCTGCTCTAATAATCTACTAGGATGCCTTTGAAGCATGGAAGTGTATCTGTAACACGGTAAGCCTTGCAGACCAGCAGGCTTGCTCTTGGCGACCACTCAGAGACCCGGGCAGGGCTGCAGCTTTGCAGGGCACTGTTCCTGCGTCTGAGCAGGAAGAGGAGAAGGAGCTGTCTAAACCAGCCAGACACTTCCTGTCTCAGAGTGAGATGGAAGTTGTGTACGCTGCCTCTGGTGTTCTCCCTGGGGACAAGTCGATCATCTTAGCTGCACGTCCCTGGAAACTCCATCTTTTCTGGGCTACAGCCAGATAAAAGAGAGAATATTTGTTGATGGGCACATAATTGTCTGTCTGTAGTTAGCCCCAAGATTGCTGCTGGGAAGTTCCATCCAGGCCCTCGTCAGAGGCCACAGTCCCTGGCTGGTGACCAGTAATTCCCTAGCAGTCCACATGACCCATGAGCTGGAAGCCAGCTGTCCCTCTCACATGGACCCACCACAGCCTGTGATGGTGCGGGAGGAAAGCGGACTCTAGAAAAGAAATGAGTACACTGTCTGAGTTGGAACTGCCAAGACTGCAGCCCCTAGCAGTGGGCTTTATTTCTGCCTTCTGAGAGGACACTCGTGTCACCCAAGGGTCACCACCACCCTTGGCCACATTCTGAAGGAGTTTGGGGAGTGTGTCCTTCTAGAAGATAAACAGCTTTGGTGGCCAGCCTCTTGTTGGTGTCAGTTTGCCAGGCTGGCATTTGTAATAGGAACCGTGGTCATAAGTGTATTTCATAGCAGATTCCTGACTCTTTGGCAGCATTGTCACCTCTGTCACAGGCTCTGGTCTTTTCTTTCCCTCCCGTGTGTTTATCAGGGAGCCAGGTTCAGTGAATGCACTTCTGCCTCTTGTTCACCGCTTCTCACGACCAAGTCTGGATGTGTGTCCATGTCTCTCTGTTTTATCAGTGACAGATCATCTGAAATCCCAGACTTATATAGGGAAGATTTGGGTCTGATTTTCACTAAATGGGACTGCATACATGTAGACAACTGCTCTGCCATGGATCCATCCTCCAGCCTGCATGAACTGGTCTACAGGGCCTTGATAGCCCAGTGTTTTTAGTCTTTGGCTGTTTTCCGAGACAGGGTCTCTCTGTGTAGCTCTGACTGTCCTGGGATTTTCCCAGACTGACTTAAAACTCACAGAGATCTGCCTGCCTCTCTGCCTCCCAAGTGCTGGGATTAAAGATGTGTGCCACCACACCTGCTTTCATAGAAATTTTTAAAATTAAAAATTAGCACAAGAGAGCTGAGTGACAGAACATTTGCCTAGCATGCAAGAGGCCCTGGGTTCCATCCCCAGCATTGCCCCCCCCAAAAAAACAAAGGAAACATACACACACACACACACACACACACACACACACACACACAAGAAAACTGACTCATACCTGTGACTATCACTTAATCCCTGCATTCCTAAGAATGGGATGGAGGATCACAGACTGGCCAAGGCCAGCCTAGGCTACATAAGACCCTGTCTCATTGCTGGGCGGTGGTGGTGCGTCCTTTAATCCTAGCATGTGGGAGGCAGAGGCAGGTGGATCTCTGTGAGTTCAAGGTCAGCTTGGTCTACAGAGTGACTTCCAGGACAGCCAAAGCTGTTACACAGAGAAATCCTGTCTCAGAAAAACAAACAAACAAACAAAAAAAGGACCCTGTCTCAAACACACACACACTTACGGAGTGGAGTGGGGGCATCGCGAGAGGAGAGGACCTGAGAATACAGACAGCTCAGGGATAGCATACTTTTCTAACACCATGCACACACACACATGTGGAATCTCAGAGTGCAGACAGCTCAGGAATAAAATGTTTGTATATTCTTCAGCATCAGACAAAAAGAAAAGAAAAACTATTTTGTGTCCCTCAAATCCTGGCAAAAGTATTTCGTCTCCAGGGAAGCACACTTCCCCATTTAGCATCAGAAGGCAGATTCCTCTTAGAGCTGCAACACGTCCTGTTTTGGTGACCTTTCTTTGTGTGTAAGTGGGATATGGCTTCATTTCACTGCAGTATCTTGGTGCTTTGTTCTTCCAGGTCTGAGTGTTTCTTAGTTTCCGGTTCTTTTCTCTTTAAGCATGCTGTTTGATCAGTTCTGTCCTGAGTGTAAGCTTGGGCCAGAAAATGCAGTCTGTGGGGAGGTCCTCCTGACTTCCTTCTGCAACAGCCTCTCTGTAGCCTTTTGTCTTACAGTACAGAGTGCTCCCTCCTGCTTACTGGGACTGGGTAACTGTTCTGCTTAAAACTGGGACAGAGTGAGTTTCACAGCTATGGCTGTGGAATAGCCCTGCCTCTGACTGGCTCTTTAGCCCTCAGTCAGTCTCTTCTATGCTGAGCCTCCCTCTTTATGGGAAACTGAAGCTGACAGTGTCTCCCTTGAGAACCCTCCAAGGGGTCATGTGAAGTGGCAAGTGTGCCCAGGCCATGAGGCTGCTTGGGAACAGAGACCACACTGACTGCAGCAGGCAGACCCCAGCTCCTGCCTCTTTGCTTTTCTTTGCCTAGCAGAGCTGGAGCCTTGACCTGGTTTGTCCAGGGCTCTAGGGAAGAGCAGCAATTAATGAAATACTCTTGCGAGTGTTGCAAAGTCTCTTAACAGTGAGGCCTATTTGTAATGCAGAGACGTGGAGGAGGGCAGGGCATCTTACAGACCATCTCCTTGGTTTCACAGAATGCAGAGAACAGTTTACAGCAGAAGAATGAAGCCATCGCTTCTTTTGAAGGAAAAACCAATCAAGCAATGGCAAGCATGAAACAAATGGAAGAAAGGTAATCCCTTCCCTGGTAGACAGGGCATCTCTAGAAGGGTCTGGGTAATCCCTTCCCTGGTAGACAGGGCATCTCTAAAAGGGTCTGGGTAACCACATGGTGGCTCACAACCATCTGTAATGCCCTCTTCTGGCCATACACACACACACAGAATATTGTATACATAATAAATAAATAAATTTAAAAAAATGTTTAAAAAAAAAAAAAAGGGTCTGGGTAATCCCTTCCCTGGTAGACAGGGCATCTCTAGAAGGGTCTGGGTAATCCCTTCCCTGGTAGACAGGGCATCTCTAGAAGGGTCTGGGTAATTCCTTTCCTGGTAGACAGGGCATCTCTAGAAGGGTCTGGGTAATTCCTTCCCTGGTAGATGGGATATCTCTAGAAGGGTCTGGGTAATTCTTTCCCTGGTAGACAGGGCATCTCTAGAAGGTTCTGGGTAATCTCTTTCCTGGTAGACAGGGTATCTCTAGAAGATTCTGGGTAATCCCTTCCCTGGTAGACAGGACATCTCTAGAAGATTCTGGGCTACTTGGGCCTAGAAACAACCACAGAGTCCCACTGACAAGTACATACAAATTGGGGTGACTGTCCTTCCTTGGCCCACCCTCTATGTAAGAAAAGCCTGGGCGCACCAACCAGCCTGGCCTAAGCGCTGGTCAGTCAGCCAGGCTTTCGGCCACTGCATCAGAATGTCCTCCCAGGCTTTGGAACTAGACAGAGTGGATTGCCACTGTCACATTCAAATATCAACTTAGTAGTGATCAAAATAGAGTTCCAGGGGCTGGAGAGATGGGTCAGCAGTTAAGAGAATTTACTGTTCTTAGAGAGGACTCAACTTCAGTTCTCAGCACCCACACTGAGTGACTCAGAGTGACCTCCAACTCCAGCTCTGTGAGATCTTCTGGTCTCTGCAGCCTCCAATACACACACACACACACACACACACACACACACACAAATAATTTTTTTTAAAAAAAATGACAATGTCCCAAAAAAGATATGCATAAATGGCTGCTTTTGGGGAGATGTGATGCCATCCCATAGAGCAAAGGTATTTGGGGTTTGATTTTTTTGTTTGTTTGTTTGTTTTTTCGAGACAGGGTTTCTCTGTGGTTTTGGAGCCTATCCTGGAACTAGCTCTTGTAGACCAGGCTGGTCTCGAACTCACAGAGATCCGTCTGCCTCTGCCTCCCAAGTGCTGGGATTAAAGGCGTGCGCCACCACCGCCCGGCTTTTGGGTTTTGATTTTTGTTTTTTGGTTGTTTTTTTTTTTTTTGGTGGGGTGGGGGCGAGACAGGATTTTTCTATGTAGCCCTGGCTGTTCTGTAGACCAGGCTGGCCTCAAACTTTGAGCTTCACCTGCCCCCGAAGTGCTGGGATTAAAGGTGTGCAGAACCACTGCACCACTACGCAGGAAGGCAGTCTTTTCAACAAATAGCCTTGGGAGAGTTGGTCCTCCGTCTGCAAAGCAGTGACTCTCAGCCACACCTCCAGCCTGACAGAACAGCTGGCTCAAAGGGCATCGTAAGAATCTAAACTAGAAGGCTCCAAAACCACAGAGAAACCCTGTCTCGAAAAACCAAAAAAAAAAAAAAAAAAAGAATCTAAACTAGAGGGCTGGAGAGATGGCTCAGAGGTTAAGAGCATTGCCTGCTCTTCCAAAGGTCCTGAGTTCAATTCCCAGCAACCACATGGTGGCTCACAACCATCTGTAATGGGGTCTGGTGCCCTCTTCTGGACTGCAGGCATACACACAGACAGAATGTTGTATACATAATAAATAAATAAATAAATAAATAAATAAATAAATATTAAAAAAAAAAGAATCTAAACTAGAACTGTTTAGGACATAGGGAACTCTGTGGCTTTGGGGTAAGCAATGAGATTTCTTTTTGAGACAGCATAAAAGCATAATTATGTCTTAGTTGGGGTTTCTGTTGCTATGAAGAGACACCAAGACCACAGCAACCCTTTTTTCAAAAAAAAAAAAAAAAAAAAAACATTTAATTGGAACTGGCTTACAGGTTCCGAGGTTTAGTCCATTATCATCATGGCAGGAAGCATGGTGTCACACAGGCAGACATGGTGCTGGAGAAGAAGCCAAGAGTTCTACATCTGGATCAGTGGGCTGCAGGGAGAGAGAGACAAGACACTGGGCTTGGCTTGAGCATTTGAAAGTCCAAAGTCCACCCCCAGTGACGCTTCCTCCAACAGGCCACTCCTCCTAATCTCTGTCAAGTAGCACCACTCCCTAATGACCAGGCATTAAATTTATGAGTCTGTGGGGACCATTTCTATTCAAAAACCACAACCTATAAGAGAAAAACTTGGTTGTAAGCAGAGTTTTTCTGTGTCCCAGTAGCCACTCCCAAATAATAACACAGACACTTATTTTTAATTATAAATGCTTGGTCAATAGCTCTCAGGCTTGTTACTAGCTAACTCTTACATTTTAAATTAACCCATATTTCCTATCTACCCTCTGCTATGTGACTTGCTACCTGTTCTCAGTACAGCAAGTTCATCTCCTCTCCACGTCTCCTCCTGACTCTGAGACTCCTCCCCTTTTTCTTCAAACTCATTTTTTTGTCTGCAAGTCTCCCCTAACCTCTACCTGTCCAGATATTGGCCAGTCAGATTCTTTATTAACCCAGTCACACAGTGACACATATTCACACAGTGTAAAAGAATACTTCATACTTGATAATTAGACTATATCAAAACTCTAAATTTACTGGGCAAGGTGTCAATGGCCTTTAATTCTAGCACTTGGCAGGCAGAGGCAGGCAGATCTCTGAGTTCAAAGCCAACCTGGTCTACAGAGTGAGTTCCAGGACAGCCAGGGCTACAAAAACCTTGTTTCAAAAACCAAAAAGAAAAACAAGTAATAATAGCAACATAATAATACTTTAAATTTTCATCATATGAAACATGACTAAAAGAATTAAAAGGTTTTTGTTGTTGTTGTTTAGTTTTTTGGTTTTGTTTTGGTTCTGTTGTTGTTGTTGGTTTGGGGTTTTTTTTTGTTTGTTTGTTTGTTTGTTTTTGGTTTTTGGTTGGTTTTTTTTTTTTTTTTTTGCTTTGGATTGGTAGACAGGGTTTCTCTGTAGCTTTGAGGCCTGTCCTGGGACTAGCTCTTGTAGACAGGGCTGACCTTGAATTCACAGAGATTTGCCTGCCTCTACCTCCTCACTCCCCCACCCCCACCCCAGTGCTGGGATTAAAGGTGTGCACCACCACCTAGCAAGAATTAAAAGAGTTTTTATGAATTTAGAGGAAATTTGCATATAGCTGACAATGAACCTATGTTAGGCTATATAAAGAACTCTCAAAATAAAAAAACCGAACAATTCAACTAAAAACAGACAAGGTGTCAGGGATGGCTCTGCAGTTAACAGTGCTTGCCGTGGGAGCTTGAGGACCTGAGTTCAAATCCGTAGAGCCCACATGGCCATGTGCAGTAGCAGATGCCTATAAAAATGGAGTGCCTATGGCAAGATGGAAAACAAAAAAGCACAGTCCACGGAAGCTCGTCGACCAGCAAACCCTGTGTACACAGTGGCAAATAACAGCCTCTCTCAGACAAGATGGGGAAGGACAGACTGGCACCAGGTTGTCCTCTGACCGCCACGTGTGCACTGTGATAACGTGTGCCACACACACACCCCTAAAGGCGAGAAAAGTAGACAAAAGGAAAGGGGTGGTGAGAAGAGACTGTGGCAGGAGGGTCACAGACTGAAGGCTAGCCTGGATTGTAGCTAGTTTCAAACTAGCAAGACTTGGTCTCAAAAAGAAAAGGTGGGTCAAGACTTGAGCATGCTCTTCAGCAAGAAGGATATGTGTATGGCAGATAAGCAAATGAATAAGTGGAGCCATTAGCTGGGCAGTGGTGGCTCATGCCTTTAATCCCAGCACAAAAAAAGAAAGAAAAGAAAGATGGAGCAGCATTCCTGTAAATTCCCGTTCAGGTGATAAGCTGTGCATGGTGGCGCACACTGTGTGTGGTACACACTATGGCTGTGGGAGGAAGATCATATGTGTGTGGTGGCGCACACTGTGTGTGGTACACACTATGGCTGTGGGAGGAAGATCATACGTGTGTGGTGGTGCACACCTGTGTGTGGTACATACTATGGCTATGGGAGGAAGATCATACGTTTGAAACCAGCTTGAATTAGGTTCTGCCTAAGCTGCAGAACAAGACCCTATCTCTGAATGAATGAATGAATGAACCAAAGAGGAGGGAGGGAGGAAAGGAGGCAAGCACTCCAGCCAATAGTTTTGAGACTGAGAGGTGGCCCTTTCCCTACAAAGACTGAATGTGTCTGCTTGGCACTGCCTTCAGGTTGCAGCAGGCGGAAAAGGCCAGGCAAGGGGCGGAAGACCGGAGCCACAAGGTGCAGCAGGAGCTCAATGGGAGGGTCAGTGCCCTGCAGCTCCAGCTGTCCCAGCTGCATGACCAATGGTAAGGAGCCGGGCACCTGCAGAGATGAGCTTGAGAGGACAAGGAAGTGACTTCCCGCCTTTCTTCTTGTCTTCAGGAAGAGTAGGACATAGCCAGTCACCCAAACATGCTTCACAAACAAGAACAGCGGGCAGGCTCCAGGGGCCACCTGTGTCTCCAGCCCCTCCTAGCTGGTGAAAGATGAGTCAGGATCCAGCCAAGCTCACCCCTGACCTTGGTCACTCTCTCCCACCTCTTTGGTATCTTCCTATCTGCTGAATGTGGGCTGTGAAAAGCCAGGCAGATATTGCCACTCAGGTCCTTGTATAATCCTCAGTGTTTCCTCTCATTGATGTAACAGCCAAGTATGTACCTGGCAGCTCCTGGTCTTTTGGGGGCCCGGGTGACCCTACACGGAGAGGCCAGGTTTCACTCCATGTAAGGATTTTAATGTCTATGTATGGCCATTCAGGTGGTTCCCCTATCTTGTATGACAGATTGTAGGTCTTCCATGGAAATCTCCCACTGAAACTAACTCTAGTTCACTTTTGGGGAAACAACAGCTCAGGTCTGGAGAAAGAACTGAAATCAGAAAAAGAACAAAGGCAAGCTCTCCAGAGAGAATTACAGCGGGAGAGAGACACGTCCTGCCTGCTCCAGACAGAGCTGCAGCAAGTGGAAGGACTGAAGAAGGTAAGGCAGCAGCGTGTGGGCACAGCCCTGCACCTTCTCCAGAACCTCCTGCCAGTCTCTCCAGTGCCTCTGTGTGGGAGGCGGGGTCTGGAGCTCTGTGCCCACCCCCACAGGGCATCTATCCTAAGAGGAGATGGCGAGGGGTAAGCCATGGAGTCAGCCAGATGGGCCTGATAGTGAGAACCAAAGGCAGAGAGGAGCTGGAAAGAGCAGATAGAGAAGAAGAGGCCCGAGAGAGCCAAGCCACCACTCACGCACAGGGCCAGGGCGAGGGGGAGCTTTACAAGTGATCTTAAAACCAGCTACTGTGTGGAGACCTGGTGCTGTACACAGGACCCTCTCCCAAGAGGTTGGCTGGCCATTCTTCCCAAAGCTCAAGTCATCGCAGGAGGCCGGCAGAGCCAGACCCTCCAATCATTCCTATGCTCCCTTTCCTTCTGGCGTTACTTCCGGCCTCGAGTTCCCAGTGTCACTCTCAGGAATGTCCTGGACCTAGTGGTGTCCGTGTAGAGACAGACCTCTCAGGAAGGTCAGCTGGCAGCAGTCTGCTGGGCTGAGCCTCTGGCTCCCAGACCTCCTGACCCCGCCTGGGCAACAGAGCCAGATGTGCACTGCCCTCAGCACACCCTTGTAACAAGGCAGCTGTCAGAGTGTGATTGCTCTTGGGGGGAGCTCCAAGGAAAAGAAGGGGCTTAGGAGCCAGGCCAATCTCAGATGGTGGGGGTGGGGAAAGGACTGGGCATGAAAGAACCTAGAAAATGGCTCTGTCATTGAACATGCCCACCTCAAAATACTTAATCCACATTTAAATTCTACACACTGAGCCGGGCAGTGGTGGTGCATGCCTTTAATCCCAGCACTCAGAAGGCAGAGGCAGGCGGATCTCTGTGAGTTCGATACCAGCCTGGTCTACAAGAGCTAGTACCAGGACAGGCTCCAAAACCACAGAGAAACCCTGTCTCGAAAAAACCAAAAAAAAAAAAAATTCTACACACTATAGCAAGCTTTTTTTTTTGATTGCCAACTCACAAATAACAACACAGAAACTTCTTGTTAATTATGAAAGCTTGACCTTTAGCGTAGGCTAGTCTCAACTAGCCCTTATAACTTAAATTAACTCATTTATACTAATCTGCGTTCTGCCATATGGCTTTACCTCTCTTCCATCTTCTATCTCCTGTTTCCTCCCCATGTCTAGCTGGAGATTCAACCTTCTTCTTCCTAGAGTCCTCTCTGTCCCTGGAAGTGCTGCCTAACCTCTTCCTGACTAGCTGTTGGCCAGTCATCTCTTTATTAAACCAATCAGAAGGTACCTTGGCAAGGACATATCTTCCCAGTGTAAACATATATTCCACAACAGCATTCCGCACAGCAGGCTTGGTGACGCCCTCAGTGGAGCAGGTGGAAGCACAGTTCCCCACTGTCACTCTCAGCAGCCTGGGGAGTTGCTGTCATCTTTTTGTTTTGAGACAGGGTCTTACTGTATTGTTCTGGCTGGCCAGAAAGTTTATGTATAGAGCCGAGTGACCTTGAACTCACAGAAATCTACCTGCCTCTGCCTCCTGGGATTCAAGGTGTGTGCCACCGTGCCCAGTTCTTTCATCTTTTAGAGACCTTGACTTAGACAAATCCAGAGTTTGGTGAAGAAAAGAATTCCAGGACTAGCCAATACAAAGCAATTAGAATTTTATGAAAGGTCTTTTAGATCACCAGGCAGTGGTGGCGTACTTCTTTAATCCCAGCACTCGGGAGGCAGAAGCAGGTGGATCTCTGTGAGTTTGAGGCCAACCTGGTCTACAAGAGCTAGTTCTCATAAACGGAGACTGTTTCCCAGCTGCCCAGACCTGGATAATCACACAGAAACTATATTAATTACAATACTATTTGGCCAATGGCTCTAACGTGTTCCTAACTAGCTCTTTTGTCTTAAATTAACTCATTTTTATTAATCTGTGTATCCCCACGAGGCTGTGGCTTACCGGTGGTGCCAGCTTTGACTCTGCCTACTCTTTCTTTCTCTGTTCGGATTTCCTGCCTGGCTTTACTCCGCTAAACCATTGACCAGAACAGCTTTATTCACTAACCAATAAAAGCAACACATATACAGAGGGACATCCCACACCAAGTTCTAGGACAGCTAGGACTGTTACGCAGAGAAACCCTGTCTGAAACCCCCCCCAAAAAAAAAACAGTCTTTTAGAAATACTTTACTAAATGTATTTATTGTGTGTGCACATGTGAGGTCAGAGGACAGCCTTACCAGTTTTTTTCTTTCACTATGTGGATCTTAAAAGTCAGTCAAGTTTTCAGACTTGGTGAAAAGTGTCTTAACTCACTGAGACATCTTCCTTGCCCAAAGACTTTTTTTTTCTTTTTCTCCAAAGATATTTTAAAATAGACTTTATGGCAGGTGGTGGTGGGTGGCACACACCTTTAATCCCAGCACTTGAGAGCCAGGAGTTCAAGGCCATCCTGATCTACAAATCAAGTTCTAGAACAGCTAGGGCTACACTGAAAAACCAAAAGAAAGAGAGAAAGAGAGAGAGAAAGAAATGCTAAAAGACTTTAGAGACATGGATGGCTTAGCAGATAAAGGAGCTAGCCTCTAAACCTGAAACCCGCATGGTAAAAGGAGAGAACAGATTCCTGAGGGCTAGCCTCTGACCTTCACATGTATGTGCCCATACTCATGCACTCACATGCAGACACACAAATATATGTAAGAAAAAAAATTAAAGGCACTTTTGAAGCAAGCCTTCAAAAAGTTGGTCTGTATACATTCCAGATAGCTGTGGAAGGAGTGATTAGTGTTTTGTTTTGTGATAGGGTCCCTTATAGTCTAGGCTGATCTTGTACTCGGTATGTAGTCTTCACCTCCCAAGAGCTAAGATCACATACACACACTACTGTATCCAGCCCAGATAACTGTGCTTTTAAAAACCAGCCTTTGGTAGACAGGCAAAGCTTTACTTGTCCATGGGTAACTGGTTTTGGTTTCCTTTGATTTTTCAAGACAGGGTTTCTCTGTGCAGCCCTGGCTGTTCTGGAATTTGCTTTGTAGACCAGACTGGCCTCGTACTCACAGAGATCGCCTGCCTCTGCCTCCAGAGTGCTGGGATTAAGAATGTGCGCTACCATTACTCGACCTTTTTTTAAATAATTTTTTTAAAAGATTTATGTATTATGTATAGTATTCTGCCTGCGCGTCTGCCTGCAGGTCAGAAGAGGACACCAGATCTCATTACAGATGGTTGTGAGCCACCATGTGAATGCTGGGAATTAAACTCAGGACCAGAGCAGCCAGAGCTCTTAACCAGCCCTGATTTTTGGTTTTTAAGACAGGCACTATATAGACAGGATCTCACTATGTAGACCAGGCTGTCTTGGATCTAACAGAGATTCATCTACCTCTGTGTCCCAAGTACTGGGATTAAAGGTGTGAGGTATGTGCCACCAGGAACAAGTGCAGGGTAACCCCCCCCCCCCAGCTTCTGGTTTTTGGTTTCTAGCAACAAGTTTTCTCTGTGTAGCCCTGTCTGTCTTGGAACTAGGTCTAGATCAGGCTGGCCTCAAACTCAGAGATCTGCCTGCCTCTGCCTCCTGAGTGCTGGGATTAAGTGTTTGCCTCCATGCCCAGCCCATGTAACTGTTCTTAATTGGCCTGAAGGTATCTCATCTCTGTCCTGCATCATTGTATCCAGCTTAGAGCTGCTTGTAGTTGTTGTTTGAGGTTTCCTGGAGCCCAGGATGGTCTCAAACTCAGTATATCATCTGCCCCTAGCTCATACAAAGTTATCTATAAGAGAACCCTCGGCCGGGCCGTGGTGGCGCACGCCTTTAATCCCAGCACTCGGGAGGCAGAGGCAGGCGGATCTCTGTGAGTTCGAGACCAGCCTGGTCTACAAGAGCTAGTTCCAGGACAGGCTCCAAAACCACAGAGAAACCCTGTCTCGAAAAAGCAAAAAAAAAAAAAAAAAAAAAGGAGAACCCTCTCTTGGGTGCTATTCATCCAACAAAACTATTCCTTTCTTCTACAAGGCATTCTGATCTCCTGACCACACCGGTTACTAAACATTTAAAAAGGAAGATGTAGTTGTGTGTGACATGTGGCTCGTCTATTTCAGGAACTGCGGGAGCTCCAGGATGAGAAGGCAGAGTTACAGAAGGTCTGCGAGGAGCAGGAACAAGCCCTCCAGGAAATGGGGCTGCACCTCAGCCAGTAAGAGCCACCCACGTGCAAGGCTGCATCTGTGCACTTCCAGGCCTGGTGCTAGAAGAGACAGCTAGGAAACCTCCCAGCTGTCCCTAGGTGACCTCCCAGGAAGTCAGGCCTTAGGAGGCAGCTGGGTGACTCCTAGTCCTTTGAGAATTCTTTTCTCCTGTGACCAGACACCAGTGGTCTAGCACCTGGCAGGGCTATCAGAAGAACAGTTCCTCTTGCTCCACCCATGACCATGGAAGAATTGTGACCTTTAACAGCCAGGATACATGTGGCTTTCGAGATGGGAACCAAATGAGAGGAAGCTAGAGAAATTCAAGAAGAATGAGGGTGTGCATGCCGAACCTTTTGTTTTGTCTGAAAAGATAGAAGGTCTCCTATTTTTTTTTTAAAGAATTTATTTTTATTATTTTAAGTGTGTTCGGGGGGGTGTGTATTCACATAAGTGTTGATGCCCTCAGAGGCCGAAGGCATTGTGTTCCCTGGAGCTGGAGTTACAGGCAATTGTGAGCCACCTGATAGGGATGCTGGCAACTGAACTCAGGTCTCCTAGAAAAACAGTGAGAGCTCTTAACTACTGAGTATCTCTCCGCCCCCAAGGTTGAGATACTTTGTTGTATAAGCATGATACAGAGATTGTTTTGAGACAGTCTTCCTGTGTGTCTCAGGCTCTAGCCTTGAACTGGCTGGAGGGTTCTACTTGGGTTTATACCTGAAGCTCCCTTCTTCCTGTCCCCACGCTGGATGGACGCAAAGCAGTCAGACCCAGTGGTCCTCAAAAATGGCAGTGGTTTTCTGACTCTGGGGATGTCTCGGTGGTACCATCTGATCTAGTTTTGGAATCCTAACTGGAGATGGTCAGTCACCATGTCCCTCAGAGCCAAGCTGTGTGGCTGTGGCAGAGTTAGGTGTACATGCAACCCAGACAGGACTACCCAAGCAGCCACTTTCCCCCTCATCTCCCATCCCTGCAAGCCCATGCTGGGACAGCTTCTGGTCCAATAAGTCAGCTCACCTGTCTGCTGCACAGGGAAAGGGTCACCTGCTGATGATTAATGAAGGCCATGGTGGTTCTTGAAAGTTCTGATGCTGTTTTGTAAGCCCTAGCTTAATTCAGCCTGTCTCTCAGGAACCTACCACTTGACGCCTAGCAATCTAAAACAGTTAGACTAGTCAGCTCTTAAGGCCCCAGATGCGATGGTACATACCTTTAATTCCAGCACTCTGGAGGCAGAGGCAGGCAGATCTCTGTCAGTTCAAGGCCAACCTGGTCTGCATAGTGAGTTATAATACAGGACCATAGACAGGGGCAGGAGCTGTTGCCAGGCACGCTGGTGGACACTGTTATTCCCAGCATTTTGGAAGGTAGAAGCTGATAGCTCTCTATGAATTTGAGGCTAGCCTGGTCTGCATATCAATCTCCAGGCCAGCCTGAAAACCCGTCTCAAAAAAATAAATAAGTAAAACATAAAAATAAAAGAAAGGGCTCTAGCCCTTATGCTATGGTCCCGGCACACCTGCACCAACCTGCAGAGCACCTCTGAGCCTGTGGGTGGGGGAATGGACGCCCTAAAAGGCCTATGCCAGTTGTGGTAGCCCATACCAATAGGAAACACTAACGGCGTGGAGGCAGGAAGATCACAAAGTTGAGGCAAGCCTGAACTACATCTGGGACTGTGAAGATAAAAAACTCACTTGCCATACAAGCATGGGGACTTGAATCCCCAGCAACTCCATAAAAAGCCATCAGGTATTGTGAGCCACCTGTAATACCAATACTCAGGTAGACAGAAGATCCCCAGGGCGAGCTGGCTGGTTAGACTAGCCAAGTCTGGAGCTCTGGCTAAGTAAACTAGAAGAGTGATACTAACATCTTTCTCTGGACTCTACACATGCATTTGTACCCATAGGACACGTGTGAACAAGCGAGCACATACATACACACCACACCACACACCAAGAGGGAAAGAAAGGTTCCCCCAGATTGCCAGCATGTAGTGTTTCATTTTGGGTTTTTTGTTTTTGTTTTTTTGATACAGAGTTTCTCTATGTAGTCCTGGCTGTCCTAGAACTCTTTCTGTAGACTAGGTTAGTCTCAAACTCAAGGAGATCCCCCTGCCTCTGCCTCCCAAGTGCTGGGATTAAAGCATAGTGTTTCATTTTTACTGACATAGTTCTACCAACCTAAAGCTGTGCGAACCTATCTTTTATGTGAAGGAACTGTTCATTCATTAAATGATGGAGAGTTAACCGGGCAGTGATGGCGCACCCCTTTAATCCCAGCACTCAGGAAGCAGAGGCAGATGGATCTCTGTGGGTTTGAGGTCAACTTGGTCTACAAGAGCTAGTTTCCAGGACAGGCACCAAAGTTACAGAAAAACCCTGTCTCAAAAAACAACAACAAAAAAAAAGATGGGGAGTTAGTGGAGCCTCTCAGCCTGCCCCTTCTGGACAGTGCAGTGGGCTGGATACCCTCCAAGAAGCCTGGGAGATTGAGGTCTCTACTGAGAGTGGCAGTTAGGTCAGGACTTCCTGGCCTTACCACAAGTACATTAAATACAGGGACAGCTATCTAGAGAAGCCAGAACTCTAGACTTCCAGAGTCATTCACCATTCTGTTTGTTTGTTTGTTGAGACGGGGTTTCTCTGTGTAATCCTGGCTATTCTGGAACTTGCTCTGTAGACCAAGCTGGCCTGGAATCACAGAGATCTGCCTGCCTCTGCCTCCAGAGTCACCATGCCCTGGCTCATTCACCATTTCAATTCTTTTTGACCCTTGTGGACTTGCAAGTCTGCCCTTAGGCCACATATTCCCAGGCTTAGCAGTCACATGAGCCAGGGGGGGTGTAATACAACCTCAGGTCACACAAAAATGGGAAGCATTTTTACCAGGTGCACGCCTGTAATCCCAGCACTCGGGAGACAGAGGCAGGTGGATCTTGGTGCTTCCAGGCCAGCACAGAGTGCTGTTACACAGAGAACCTCCATTTTGTCCCTTTCCTACTAAAAAAATGTCTTTTTTTTTATAGGTCCAAACTAAAGATGGAAGACATAAAGGAAGTAAATAAGGCGCTGAAGGTATTAAAGTCACTTTTATTAGCAAAAAATCACTTAGAGCTGATGGTGGTAGGCACACCTGTAAACCCAGCACTCCAGAGGCAAAGGCCCTCGAATCTCTGAATTCAAGGCTAGCCTAGTCTACATTGTGAGCTCAAGGCCAGTCATGGATCTTAATGAGACTGAAGGAAAAGAAAGACTGCTCACGTGCCCCACAGGGATGACAGCATAGTGCCACAGGCATGTCCGGGATGGCATTGCTGCAGGTGGACAGGTATGAGCTGGAGGCTAACTTTTCCAGTGTCAGTTTCTCTAAGCCCAAGCCCATGGTAGGCCCTATGCCCATTGGCCGGCTCTGCCATGCTGTGTGCTTGAGAAGCTAGCACACACACACAGGTGCCAGGTAGAGCAGCCTGCCTCACCCAGTTACCACAGGAGACTCGCAGGACAGACGGGCTCCTTCATGGTGAGAGACCATGCTGCGCAGCCACCTCCAGTCCAGCAGGTGAATGGATCCCTGGCTGCGCCTACTCTTTAATTGCAAGCTGCAGGTCTCTGTCTAGCCATGCAGTATTTGTATGATGGTGGCAGCAGACAACTCCAGAGGGGCTTTCTTTCTTTCTTTCTTTTTTTTTTTTTTTTTTTTTTGATTTTTCGAGACAGGGTTTCTCTGTGGCTTTGGAGCCTGTCCTGGAACTCCCTTTGTAGACCAGGCTGGCCTCGAACTCACAGAGATCCGCCTGCCTCTGCCTCCCGAGTGCTGGGATTACAGGCGTGCGCCGCCACCACCCGGCCTCCAAAGGGGCTTTCTAGAGTAAGGGTGCCTTAGGTAGCCCCAGCAGCCTGCTTCTCTGGCACAGTAAAGGCTGTGTCAAGGGGCCCTTGACCCCTCTGATCACGTACAGAATTCCTAAGGGATAATACATCTCAGATCAGTTTTTCCTGGTAAAAACTTGCAAAGCATCCTCTTCTAGAGCCTCCAGTTTCTCTTATATAATGTAGCTAAGCTGTTTGCCAGAGCCATTGAGGATGTGGGGCTGGGTGTGCAGAAGAGCTTCCCTGAAGCTAAAGGCATTCCTCCCCTACACATTGTCTCTCTGCAGAAGTCCAGGTCATTGTTTGAACCTTTCCTTCTGCCAGTGTAGCTAGTCATGGGATCACATCTCAGGCCGGGCCTGGGGTTGCAGGCACCAGTTTGACTGTGGTGACCTCAGCTATAGGAGACCTCTTGAAAGGGCAGGGGAGTATCTTGAGTGAATCAGCCTTGATCAAGGCCAGGATGCTGAGAGCAGGCACTTTGTACAGATATGTGAATGCCACCTACAGTCAGCATGAGAAAAGGCCTCCATTAGTCCTCCTCCATCTGGGGAAGCTACAAGGCCTCCCAAGGAGGGACAGTCACAAGACAGCAGATGCAGCCAAGCAGGGACTGACATGAGGTGAATCTCTCAGGTGTTTCTCTTCCTCAGGGCCACACATGGTTGAAGGATGATGAAGCAACACACTGTAAGCAGTGTGAGAAGGAGTTCTCCATTTCCCGGAGAAAGGTACGCAAGGGCCACTCCCACCTCAGGGTCTCCTCTGGTTCCCAGGAAAAGCCTATCTTTACTACACCTGTGCCTGCTGGTCAGCTGGAGGTTCTTGTCCCATTGCCTTTTAATGACGGACATGCTTGGGGCAGCATGGCCTCTGTGTCGGGCTGCTGCAGGTATACTGCTGGCAGGCCTCTGTGTGCAGCAGGGCTAACTTGGGCAAACCACACACAGGAACCTGTAAGGCATCAGGCCAACAGACTCTCACTGGATGAACTGGGCCTGTGTCTACCCGCATAGCCTGTTGCCAGGCTCTGGGAACAGAAAGTCCTGGATGACTCTTTTTGGTCCATAGTAGCAAGACCCCGAACTGCCTCATCAAAGAGCAATTGGACAGAGGATGGATGGCCTTGGAAGTATATAATGCTGGGAGCTTAAAGCATCACCACACAGGAAGGTCTACCCCACCAGCCTATCCACAGCTATGGGCTCACCACCTCTCCTGTTCCCGTCAGTAGTTTTCATCTGCGCAAGAGAAAACCAAAGTGCCAAACTTGGATAAGTTCAGAATTGGAAATGACCTTTCCATTTGTCAAGACCTGCCGAAGGCAGCACAGTCTGGCCATACCCACCTGAACATTTTTGGGCAATCTAGCCTAATTGTCTGTAGAGCCAGGATAGAGGCTCTCCAGGCTAAGCTTGGCATCCATCACATACCCAAAGAACCCAACACAGCCAGGTGTGGTGATATCTTTAATCCCAGCATTCAGGAAGCAGAGAGAAGCAAGTTTCATGGCAGCCAAGGGAACACATAGTGAAGCTCTATCTCCCTACCCAAAAAAACTCAACCCCAATAAGTCCTAGATTCTTGGCCTATTTATAAACAACCATCTGCCACCAATCAGGAGAGGCTATCTAAAAGCATGTTGGGTCTAAGACATGGCCATTATAGAAGCCAGGCTTTGCAAAGCAAGGTAGGTGTAGGGGTTGCATCCCCCAGTTGTCTTGACTGCCTTTTTCCTGTCTTCTAGCACCACTGCCGAAACTGTGGCCACATTTTCTGCAACACCTGTTCCAGCAACGAGCTGGCCCTGCCCTCCTACCCTAAGCCAGTGCGTGTGTGTGACAGCTGTCACACCCTGTTACTGCAGCGCTGCTCCTCCACGGCCTCCTGAGGCCATCAGGCCACCAGTAGGGACCTTAGCCTGTTGACCTCCATCTTCAGCGTGGAGGAAAGCCTCAGGTACAGTGCCAAACTCTGGGTCTCCAGAGACCTGCAAGAGCCCAAGAGAATCAAAGGCTGTCAGCCTCTGAAGACAGCGCCAAGTGGCAGCTGACCATTCTTCCGTGGTTTGTATAGAGCCAGCTCCTCTTGACTGACATGTCTGTGTCCTCGGTTATATCCTGGCTTTGGTACAGGTGTAACTTCATGATTTTGCTACTGTCACTTTCACTTTTCAAAGGATTGACCTATTTTGCAGCAGTTGCACTAGTACAGAATCCTTTCTCTTCCTGCCCATATCCCACAGAAACCTTGATTTCTGCAGAGCTTTGAACCTCCTGGGTCTGTCAGTGTGCCTTGTCTGCTTCATCCAGCATTTACCATCATGCCTCTGTCAACTACCGTTAGCCCTGCAATAAAATCCTTTATTTTTCACTCTTGTACAAAGTGCTGGCTTCCAGCTTGCATATAGAGGAGGGCCTGCTGCGTTTGAGCTCTCCAGCTGGTGTGTTGCTTGAACTTAGGCTGCTCCACCCAGATGGACCAAGGCCAGGGTAAAGCCTTGTCACCAAAGTCCAAGTACGTATTTACACAGATGCCTGACTTGCAGTGGGGTTACATCCTCATTGCAGTCAAGTAGAAACAAGCCAAGAATGACCACTGTTCACCTTACTTAGCCTGCCTTCAAAGTGTTTGGGACACTAGCAAATAAACAGACTCAGCTAACATAGCTGCTTTTTGTTTTGAGAAAAGGTCTTTTGTTTTGAGAAAGGCCTGGTCTGGTCTCAAATTCAAATGCAACCAAGGCTGGACTTGAACTGATCTTCTTGCCTCCATCTCTTAAGTACTGGAATTATAAGCATGTGCCACCATGTCCAGCAAAACAAAACCTATTTTTTAGATGTTGGCTTATCTCAATAATTTACTGAAAACCTGTTATACAGGTACTTCTACACCATGGCAAAAGCTGAGCCATTTATTAAAACCATCTATCTACATGGGACTTGAAGTACTAGCACAGATGTCTGTGGCTATGCAGATTTGTACCATCTTCCCTAGGGTCCCACCCAAGTGCAAGTTCACGTACCTATCCCATCATGCAGGCTAATGTCCTTAGATTTGTGTCCATGCAGGAGTGGGACAGAGACAAGTGCCAGGGTACAAGGCCAGATGGCAGCTTACTAGAATGAGTTCTCTCCACCATGTGTCTTCCAGGGATAAACTCAGATGATTAGTCTTGGCAGCAAACATCTTTATGAGCCATTTTGCTGGCCTGAGACTCTGAAGTAAGTATTGGAGCATCAGACAAGGCAGCCCGTCAGTCCACCTGTCTTCCAGCCCTTCCCTTGTACTTTTCCATCCTTCTAGACCCAATACCTTCACTTCTCACCAGTTTCCACATCTGGTTGTTTACTGTCCAGACTCTGCCCCAACCCAATCCAAGCCTGTCTCTCCTTCCTCCCTCTTCAGTCAGTACTGGTTCTGGTGCTTTAAGCAAGATTCCCTATGTTGTTTCTCATCTGCCTCACCCCAATCCCCTTTTGCCCCAATCCCTACAGCAAGGACTGTGCAGCCAGGATTTAAAACCAGACCTGGGCAGCTACAAAGCCATGGTCTAAACTGCAGGCACAGTGAAAAGGGCCAAAGGAGTCTGCTCCTCCTCCACCTGAGCCCCTTTTGCTAACCTCAGGACCCAATTTTCCCACAAAGTTCACATACCACTGTACTGCCCCAGACTGTTCTAGTTAAGTCTGTACCTTTTCAGTGTGCCCAACTTAGGTTCCAGCTTTTGGGGGGCATTTAGTTAAGTCACTTTACTTCTGAGTATCACATTTTTCATCTGCACACAAAAGAGCAGGGTAACAACACCTCCCATTTCTATGCTGCTGCTCAGAAAAAGCACACATCAGATTCCAGCTGGCATATACATGCTCAGGTTTCCATTCCCTTTGTCCTCCCAACTTCAACTCTACCAAGTTACCATGTTTTGACACCAAATTCAACCCCCATCTCCAAGTTGTTGGGGTTTTGGTTTGGTTACTTTTCAAGATAGGGTTTCTCCCAGGGTGGCACATGCCTTAATCCCAGCACTAGGGAGGCAGAACAGGAGGATCTAAATTGAGTCCAGCTTGGACTCTATTATAGAAAGTTCTAGGACAATCAGGAGAGACCAGTCTTAAAACACCGAAAGTTTCTCTAGGTAGCCCTGGATCTCCTGGCTGGCCTCAAACTCAGATCCATTTGCCTTTACCTCCCAAGTGGACAAGGTATGTGACACAAACCTTGGCAGAATTCCAAAAGTATCTGAGGGCTAAGGGTACAGCTCAGTGGTAGAACCTTCAGCCAATAGTAATAAAGGTCCCGGGTGGAGAGGGATACAGCAGCACACAATAGATGGTAGCACACATGTTAACTAGCACTCAGCTAGCCTGAGGTGCATATGGAGACATTGAGAAAAACTCCAACCTGTAAGAAAATATGTATGGACATCCTAGAGGACATGAAAGTGGCCTTGTGAGCAACCTTTGCTCTAGTACTTGTTTCTGCCAGGCCTGAAAGCCTCTTAGACAAGGAGTGCTGACACTGTGAGCAGCCTCTTACACAGTGAGTATAGGCTGTTCAGACAAGATCCAGTGCAGTCAGGCCAAAACAACCCTTCCACAAGGGCCCAACAGCTTGTCTGAAGACATCTAAAGCAGCCTCGGCTACCCAGACTTCACATAATAGACAGGGACACCCCACGCAGGAATAAAGCACCAAGACAGATCACGTGACACTGAAGCAGACAAGTATAGCTTTTAAAAGGAAGATTTATTTGACAAGGTTCACTTAGCGCAATACACCTAAAAGGAAATCACAATACAATGAAAGACTTAAATCAAGGCCTCAGAATTTCATACAAACACCAAGACCAAAAAATCCTAAAGTAATGGTATTGCGTCTCAAAATTTCTCCATTAACTTAAAAAAAAAAAAAAAAAACACAACTCACGTGCCTTACAAGTTATCAAATGAAATTAGAACAAACATGCCAAATGTTTCACTTTTAATTGTAGACGCTGCTCCTATATTGAGTTTTACAAAAAAGCATGTCTTTTCAACATGCATCAACAGTGTTCAAATGTAATGTATGTATAAGAGCAACATTTAACATAATTCAACTGCTTTAACCTAAATACGCTTACTACTTACATACATCCTACAGTAACTAGAGAAAAGCTGGGAATTGTTTAACAGTTACAGTTCACTCAACTTCACTGTATCATCCTAGGTGACTATGTTTAACATTGGACCTTAGTCCTTTGAGAGATGCCAATGTTTACTTAAAAAGTAGGCATAAATCACAAGGATGGATTGCAACTGTTAAACTGAAGGGTTTGTTTTCCTTAAAAAAAAAAAAAAAAAAGACCAAAAGTCAGTGATTAAAATCTACTACATTCCCCATCCACCACTCATACTGGACATGCTAGACATCCCTCCCATTCCATTCAAGCCCAAAGATGCACGGCTTCCACTACTGTAGTAGCTGCTGTTCACTGCTCCTTGGCTACCTGCAAAGAGATCCATTTGACAAGTTAGGAATGATGCCTAATAATTATTCAAATAAAATAACGTTACAAGAAAAAGATTAAAAAGATATGAGTGCAAATGGCTGCTGTTCAACTGGCGAGACGCATGTTGGGAAAAGGGAATCCAGACTCCAAACAAACCTCAATTAAACCCTTTTCTCTGCAGTACCAACTTGCCAGACTCTTGTGCTACCATTTTAAGTGGATTCTTCAGGATCAACGTGGAAATTTTAAGTTTAAAGGAAAACTAGTGTTTTTCAAAAATTGCAAAATTACTTCAAGTTTTTAAAACTAAAAAACAAAACATTTAAAAACTTTACCATAAACGTGTACTATGTGTCCGTCGAATGGTGTGTATGAATAGGGAGTAAGTACAGGGGAAGTCTTTTGCTTTGCCTATTCATGGTGGGCAAGAAGTGAGAGGACAAAAGTTGGACTAACGGCAACTCCCTGTGCCCAAAATGGCAGCCTCCATGGAGTTAAGTCAGAATCACTGACTGCTATAGAAAGTGTTATCACAACATTATCAGTATTTGCTATTGGGAATTTAAATTATATTTTTTGAGAAAATATTTACCTATGCAATGTTTGATTGAAAATCACTGGAGTTTTCCTGTAAAACTTGGTCTGCAAAAGGATTTTGTAGGGTAAGACTATCATACCAAAATCACCATTCTTTAGACCAATTGAATAAAAAAAAAAAAATAAAACCATCCCTAGGTTAACAAACTAGTACAATACTGTCCTGAACCCAACCACCAGTCTAATATTTAAAAATTACCCTCCATCAAAAACTTAATGCCGTAACAGAAAAGCAAACTAATGTTTTAGTAAATGAACACACACAGATGTTTTCTGGCTTGACAGTGTTCCAAAATTGCAATGACTAGAATACATGCCCTCTCTCCTCCCAATGACTGACTGTTTCTGCACATTATACTATTAAGAATTATAGTAAAAACCATACATTTAATACCCCACAATACCCCAATCTTAAAAAGAAGCCTGTATATTCCCAACTAAAGAAACCAACCTAAAACTTACTCTCGGTATATTAAAAAAAAAAACTTACCATATCCACTCATGCTGCTCTGGCCACCATAGCCACCTCCATAACCACCACTCAGCTGCTGGCTGGCTGGGCCACCGTAACTGGACTGGTTTGCTGTTAAGTTAAGAGAACATTAGAGCTTTGCTTCTTATCCAGTGTGGTACCTGGTGGTACCGGGCTTGTAATTCTATGTCTACAATTTTCCAGTCTTGATCTTATATTACTGTCTCCTCCTGCCTACTATCTATAACAAGTCTGACTCTCTGTGACCAGATAAATCTTTATATTCTTCATTTGAGGTAGGTAAACGTTTATAAACCAAAAGGTTGAGGAATACACATGATTCATAAGTAGAGGCATTTTTTTTAATGATCTTATAAAACTTTAGTGAGGTTTCCCCCTTAGCTTGATATATATATTTAGATATGTCCTTATACAGGTTATCAGTTAATTATGCCTAGTTAATTATGCCCAACTAATTATTTTCCCAATTAACATTGTTAATCCTGTATTTTTGCTAAATATTTTAGACGTACACTTTATAAACAGATACTATATATCTGTATAAACAGATACATTCAATAGTCCCCTCCCCCAAAAGTACTTGTATCTACTTTGAGTAATCTACCCTAAGCAGCTTTGTTATTACAAGATTTTAGCAATTTAATAATTACAAAACTTGCTTAAAATTAAGAATCTTTGTCTAAATTTGTCTGCTAACTTAAAATTATTATTATGCTAACAAACTCTGATACTAATTATGTTAACTTATCTTATAAATCTACTTATACAAATACAAATGTTTTGGTTTTTAAAAAAACT